CTGGTATCTTATTATGAAGTAATTCATCTTTTAAAATAGACTGTCTTATTGAAAACTTCTGTCACGGCCTCATCTAGTGTGTTTGACTATGTAAAGTGTAAAGAGTGAAAACTAAAGGGCTACATGTAGGCTGATAGATGTCACATGAGACGTGAAGGCCTGCTGTTATCTTTCTGAAGGTGCAGCATGTTACCATAACAAGTTGCTGCCTAGCCTTCTGAGTACATCTGGCAGGGTTATAGACAAACTGTAGCCAAATGAAAAATAATTCCTGTACAGTATATAGATATATGCCCCTTGATAGGGACTCTTTGCCCCTATCAAGCATGAGTTGATTCCGTTCCCTCTTCTTCTTTCTTGTCACATCTGTTGTAGGGGTGGGTTCATATTCACTACCTGGGCTACAGTACCTGACTGCCTGTAACTGATGGTACTGTTGCTTGCCTTTGCCTTTCCTCGTGGAGAACTAGCTTTGACCCAGTTAGTCTCTTTTGAGTCAAAAGTCAGGTTAACTCAGTTACAGCTGAAGAGCTTTGGACAGCTAACTAAAGATAAGTCACATTGCAAGATAACTACATTCCAGAGAAAACAGAGAAAACCTGCAGATCTTGCTGCTCAGAAACAAAGGGTGGGAGTGTTTTACTTTTGGGCAGAGCAGAATAAGGATGCTATTCTTTCTAAGTACAATTAGTGTGGACTTACAAAAGGAGGATCAGGCCTGAAAAATCTGATATCCTCTTCTGGAGAGGGGAAAACAAAGTGAGTCACAGCATGACTAACCAAGACCAGGGAAAAGCTTTTCATACAGTAGCATACAAAAGGCTTAATCCCAAAACCAAGGAGTGAGGTAGATAGACAGTTTAAGTGGATAAGAAGTTAGTTGCAAATCCAAAGACAAACTGGTGCAAGGTAGAATTACAAAGCCAAGAAATGGATTTCTGTGGGACTGGAAAGAAAAAGGAGCAGTGAGACAGCTAAGGGAAGACTGCCTTTGACGATTGTGTTTTTTCACAGATAACAGTGTCAGGGTGTTCAACACAAGTCTATTGATTCTCAGTTCAAGAGAATCACTTGGATGTCTCATGACAAAGCAATATCTATAAACAAGTAAATTCAATATTAGGTATCTTTAAGGTCAGATGCACTGGTGTAACCAATTGAATTGATTATTTATGTTATGAACCCCAAACCATCTATTCTTCACAGGTGAGAACACATTCTAAGGTTGGGGGTTCGATCCTTGTATGGGCCATTCACTTAAGAGTTGGACTCGATAGTATCTGGAGATACTATTGGTGGGTCCCTTCCAACTCAGAATATTCTGTGGTTCTGTGATTCTTTTCCTTTGTGTCCCTGTGGCAATCCTGATTGCTGAGAACTACTTCAGTGGTAGTTTGCTGCTAAGACCTTGAAGCACAGAAGGCATGTCAGAGTTTTCCTGTGCTTCTACTCCCTACAGTCAGACTCGAACTGCGGCTGGAGGCAGTCCTTTAAAGCCTGCCAGCTTCCTAAGGCTGTGTCTAGACATATTTTGTTGGCAACTCCAGGTGGCCACCCTTCTGTGCTCTCTGTTTTGCAGGACAAGGGCATGGATAGTTTCTCATATGAGTTATGAGTTATGTCACCACTTCACTGCTTTGAATATTCATCTTAGAGGCTGAGTAAAGACTCTGGTTAGCTATCTTGATGTACAAGCATGACTACTTTTTAGTAAAGTAGCTTTAATCTATTGTGAGAGCTCTCACTGCCCCATTTTTGAGTTCCCAGGGTATCACTCCATATACCAGCTGTGAGGCCAAGTGAAGATCCCTGTATCAGATCTGGGTAATACACTAGCACTCTGTCAGTCAGCCCTAGCTCAGCATATTAAACTATATCTGTTCCTAAAGGAATAGTAGCAGACTACTCAGCACCCTACAGACTTACCGCTGCATTCCCCTTTGGCCTTTCTGTCACTTGTTGGGGAACAGCTGATAACCTGGTTTCATGAGGTTCACAGCTGAAGTGAAAATACCTGTCTCCAGCTGGAACTGTTGGTCAGGCCTTGATGGCACTAACAGAGCTTACTGGCCCTGCCCAGCCTTCCCCAGACCCTCCCGCATCCTGCCACATCAGCTCCACAGGACTGTCAGCCCCTGCCCCAGTGAGGCCACAGCAGGGTCATGCTCTGACTCCCCTCAACCCTGCTGAGCCCTAGGGTTGTTGTCCCAGCAACTCCTCCATTTGGGTGTACTGAAGTTGTAAGAAAAGCTGAAGGACCCATATTCTATCTATCACTGCTGTCTCTAGCAGAACTGTGCTACAGAGCTTGTGAGGCTGAAACCTGAACTATTCCCTATCATGGAGGATATTATAATGAGTTTAAAAGAGATGCACTGGAGGATAGACAAGTTCATTGTCTTATCCATTATTTTTTTTTCTGAGGTTAAGGATAGGTACGTTGACTTACATTCTACAATAGTAATTGTAGAATTGAAGGAATGAAAATTCTTACATTAGATGCATTACATGACTTTAAACATCTGCCTTTGCCTCACGGAGAAGAAGAGTAGGGTCTACTATTATTGCCTTCCTCTTTTAGCAAGGGCTGGCGCTGCATGTTTTTGCATTATCTGTTACTACTGCTTTACTTGATGCTGTCCTGCCTTCCTCTTCTTCAGTCTTGGCTGGGACCACACCTACTTCTGTTCTAAGATATTTGAGGAATTTGGTCCGTCCAAGAGGTAACATCATCCTCTTTCTCCCCCCCCAGCTTCCCCCTCAGCCGTAACCCAGGCAATGATCTCAAGAGGCAAGTTCCTAGATTTCCAGGAATTCGGATAAGTCTCTCTGAGTTCATCAAATACAGAAGGGTACCTAGTTGTGAAGAAAAACATGTCCAGAATATAAATACTTAGCCTGCCAAGGACTGTTGAGGGGTTGATACTGTCTCTAATTACTACATTCTGGCAGAGTGTGTCCCTGGGCTATGGAAGTTGCAGGTGTTCCTGTACTACAAATAGCGGTGATATACATTAGTAAATAAATCCCTGGAATACTCAAGAATTCTCAATAGAGACACTCCTGAGAAAAGGGGTTGTAGTGGTTTGAACCAGGTTTTCCCCCTGAAGCTAAGAAAATGGTAAAACCCCAGGGGGTGGTGACCCCTGGAAGTTTTGAAGTTTTGTCCAATGGGCGCTCCTGTGAAATGTAAACATACCACAAGCAAATGGAAGAGAAGGTTAGTTGTAGTTTGGTTGTAGAAGTGGTAGTCATGTTCTGAGGCCACGAGGAGCAGACGGCAGAAGCCCCCTGGGGGGGGCAGGGGCCTGTGGGGACCTGGAACAGCATAAAGCTGCGTGCCTGCAGGTGAGAGCTAAGAAAGTTTTCTCCACTGTGACTGAGCAGAGACAGAGCAGCAGCAGAAGCAGCATCCAGAGACTATGGCTAAGAGCCAGGATAGATAAGAACTGAACCAAACAGCAAACGGCATGCACCGCAGAGAGGACTCCTGGAAGGAGAGCCGAGAAAAGAGAGTCAGCAGCAGAGCTACTGAGTTTTGGGGGTAAGAACTGAACCAGACCCCCCAAAACTCCTTTGAGACCTCCGAGAAAGGAGGGAGATGGACTCCTATTAAGGAGAGGAGTGTTGGACATGCAGCACTAGAGAGAGGAGCTGAGAAGCTCAAAAGCGTCCTGAAGCTGGACTGGGACAGAGAGGAATGCAGAGGGGGGTGAGCTTGGCCTTTCCCCCCCCCCCTCGCCACTGCTGCCAAGGTTGCAGCCTGAGACAGAGCACAGGAGCTCTGGTAGAACTCTTAAGGCAAAGGCTTGCAACTGAATGCTGCCCAAGATGTTCTGACTCAGGGGTGAACTCCCCTGAGGAAGGGACTTTCACGAAGATGCCCCTGCATTTCGTGATATGCCTGTGGTGAAGCGAGTTTAGTCCCTGCTGGCAGTCCACAGGTGAGACCTTCGCTTGGAGTCGAAGGAGAGCCAAGAGGAGTGAAAGGAGACCCCCTTGTGTCTTGAAAGACCCTCGTTTGGAGATGACGGGCCAAGGGGCTTGGAGATCCCCTTCTGTGTATTGAAAAGAAATCCAGCTACCAGCTGCTGCATTGTGAAGAGGACAGATGACTGCTGCCTTAGAGACTTTGCTGCTCTGAGGAAGGGATCTGTCCTTCTTCCCTCCTGGACTTTTATTTGGAGGGGAGAAGAGATCTGATCCATTGTAAATACTTATGTCATGGTAGAGATAGTTGTGATCGTGTGTATAATGTATTATAATATTTATTTGTACAGTCATTGTAATATATTCCCTTTCCCCCATTCTGAGTCTCGTGTTTTGTCTGTAAAAAACTCCACATCTTACACTAGGTTGAGATGGGGGAGGGGGCTTAGACTAGGGAATTAGATTTTGGGGATCTCAAACCATGACAGGGTTAATTTATTTTGTGGTTGTCATGGGTATACTGAGTGGTTTACACTTAAGAAGCCACATGACTGTGACTGAGAAACAAAGGGAGGTCTCAGATGACAACAATGGAATCAAAGGAGTGGGGTGCCTGTAAATGTTTGGTGTGCATCCTAGCAGAAGTGTAATAAATCAGTTCAGAGAAGTGAAAATTTCTGTTTTATTCCAGTTATTCTGCTCTGCAAGAAGCTGTGCCAGGGAGGGTTTAGGTTGGATATTAGAAAAATGGTTGGGCACTGGAACAAGCTCTCCATGGAAGTGGTCACAGCACCAAGCCTGACAGAGTCCAAGATGCATTTAGACAATGCTGTCATGTTGTGACTCTTGGGGCTGTCTTGCGCAAGGCCAGGAGCTGGACTCGATGACCTTTGCGAGTCCCTTCCAGCTCAGCATATTCCGTGATTCCGTGACGTGTCCTTCTGCAAGCCCAGTCACACAGGACTCTCCTTTCTCGGACTCGGCAGCGCTGCCCTCCCGCTGACCGCCGCGGGGTCACGACGTGTGGGCCCCGCCCCGCGACGGCGGTGACGCGCGACGGCGGTAACGCCCCAGAAATAGCGGGGCGAGCCCGGGGTTCCCCAGTCGGCGGCAGCGGCGCCCGTGACCCTGACCCTGCCCGTGCTCCAGGCGGCGGCGGCGGCGGCTCCTCCTGCTTCCTCCTCCCGGGTGAGTACGGCAGCCCCGGTGCTCCGGCCTGGCTCTCGCCGGCCACAAGAGCCCTCGGCGCCCGCCCGCCCCGCGGCGCTCACTCCGCAATATGGTGGAGCCTCGGGCGGAGCGGGCGGGGGCTGCGGCTCCGGGTGCGGCGCTCGCCATGGGGCCGCCCCTGCTGCCTCCGCCCTCGCGGGCCCCTCGCCCCGCGTCCCAGTGGGTTTTGGTAGGCTGGCAGAAGTTCTTTCGGGACCAGAAAGTCTCGAGATCCTCGAACGCCCCCGGGAGTGGCGTTGAAAAGCCTCGTCCCGGAAGCGGCCCGTGGTGGCACTTGGGAAACTGGGGCGCCTTCCTGCCTGGGGTAGAGCGGTGAGCCAGGACGGGCGCCGTGGCGGTTCTGTATGGCTGTCGTGCTGCTTGCTGGTCTTTCACTTCTTCCCATAGCGAGGGGAGAAAGTAGAAATTAAGTTTGTGACGTAGCTCAGTGTGCTTTCCTGTTTAGAGTCTTTTGCTGTCTCTGAAATATGCTTGGACTTCGACTCCAGGCATCTTACTCACCTGCTCCAGAGAAGCGGATCTGACTTTTACCAGGGCTAAACCTCTTCAAGGGAAGATCCTAGTTATCTTCATCTTCTTTAAGAGCAGGAATAACTTCAGGGGCTAACTGTTATGGTTTAGTGACTAGTGTGTGGATGGATCTTGTGGGACACATTACAGATATTGAGTAATCCTTTAAGTAAGGGCCCTTCCTCATTCCCCATTCCATATTCTGTGCTGCTAGCCTCTTCTGTTATGCAGCATGCTTTGCACTTCATAGTGAAATTCAGTTGTACTCCAGGTAATCTGACTTGTAATGCTATGTGAGAAATAGAACATGTTTTTGGGGTATTTCAGTTCTTGATAAATGGAAGGAAAACTTCTCTGTTACTGCTGTAACCCTTGTCTGTTACCTCCTTGTGTGTTCCATGTACAGTGGTTAATCTCATTACAGGCATTACTGTATGGCACATATATGTTAATATGTGCAAATATGCCTGTAAAATATTAACAGCATGCCTTTGTCCTTGTTCCCCATTATGTAATGGGGAAAAGTTTTACTTTACCTCAGGGGGAATATTAACACACTCCTTTTGATGCTATCATATGTATGAGACAGAAAACTGCTGTTGGCTCTTTGACAAACCTAGCAGAAGGCCTCGTAAACCACAGTCCTTTTGAGAATGGCCTCTTAGTTTGCCTTTTTGTTGCCTTCATTTATACAGGTTCTTCTGGAACCTAAATGTCATGTGAAATTATCAATGCAAACAGTGCTTCTTGCACATTTAGTTCAGCCTACATGTGTATGATGTACACACGACAATGTGCTTCTGTGTTCTCTCATTATGTGGTACTGCAATACCACTTCTTTTATAGGGTTCATGTGGGGAAAGCTGTTAGTATTTTCTCCATGGGAATACATGTTGGAATACATGTTGAGTAATGTAGACTTGCTGAATAACCAGTGTTTGCAACCTGTTTCAGTGGGGGATGGGTAATATTTTACTCTAAATTAGCATGCTCTGTGTGTTATAGGAATGCTAACTTTTAAGCAAGCTGAGCAAGTGTGAGCCCTAGGTGCGCTCCCTACAGAAGATGTAATCTGATTAAAGATGTTGCTGGTGGATTCTTCATCTGGCTTGAACATCCTAAACTAGATTTTAGTGCCTTGTGTCCTGGCTCAACAGATAAACCCAGTTGTATCTTAATTCTTCTAGAAAAATAAAGGAATCCACCAGCTGGTAACTCTGGTTATTCAGCAATGAGCTGCTGTATCTCAAAGCCCGTCTTGTGTATGTGCCATGCTTGTGTTGCCTAAACCAAGTTTTGGATTTCTAAATTGTTACAATAAAATCTAATTCCTGTATGCAAGAAGTGAACATTCTGATCCCGTTAAACGGAGTGGATCACAAGAAGGTTGTTGGTTTCAAAGTTTGGTGCTTAGATGAAGTGGATATGAGAACACCATGTCTTGAATATGCTTCTTTCACAGACTGTGTAAGGTTCAAGAGCTGAAAAAATGGCATTGGCAGCAATTGATCCACAGCAGGTATGTCTGAATTAGTCCCATATTTTTTTTTGTCTAGATCAGAAATATAGGAGTCAGCTAACCCCTTTCTCTTTTAAACAGAATATTGTATTGAGAGTTGTCAACCTTCCTTTGGTGAGCTCCACCTATGATATGGTCTCTACAGCTTACATCACCACTAAGGATAACCATCCTTATTTGAAGTCAGTATGTGAGGTAGCAGAGAAAGGAGTGAAGACAATTACATCGGTAGCTGTGACAAGTGCTATGCCTATCATCCAGAAGCTGGAACCGCAAAGTAAGGCAAAGATGAAGCTGTTGATAACTTCAGTTCAGCTGATTGTTTTATATATCCAGATGCACTTATAGTTTAACATGGTCATGCAGGTCAGGAGTGCTGTGTCGGGTAGCTGACTAAACCTGTTGCCTGGCCTAAGTAACTGATTATAGATGGGTATGACTTAAAAAAAAATAGTGCAGAGCGAAAGCAGATTCCATCTTTTGTAGTACTAAACTGATTGACTCCTTTTGATACACAGGATGATTAAGTAATCTCTTGCTCAACACCTTTCTTGCCTTTCACCTGGTTTCAAATGCTACTGTTTCACTTCCTCACACTGAGGACTTTGGAAACTGTGTCACAATGCTGTCCTAACCCGGAGCCTGGTTTCATGATATGGCAAATGGGCAAGGTGTTTCAGCTTTTTCTATAGTTGCTTGTAAATTATCGAATGGATTTTCTCTGCCTACAAGTGATTTTTTTTTTTCCTGGCACTGTAAATCTGCCTTGTTCTTGGGCTTTGTTGCCTCAAATCTCACTGAAGGGGGAAGGAAACTACTTTTAAGAGTGTTGCATGAGTTCTGTTTCAAGAGGAATTTTCAATTTGAATTATTTATACCAGGGGAAAAAACTATTAAAGCCAACTCTTGTAATTTCTTTTATAGTTGTAGTTGCCAACAACTATGCATGTATAGGTCTAGACAAAATTGAAGAGAGGCTACCTATACTGAATCAACCCACTGATAAGGTAAGTTCTTTCCATGTAAATATGCTAAGGTGAAGAACCATACACCCTTCTTTTTTTATCGCTGAAAACCAGGGAGACAGATTTCAAAAAGCCATGCCTGAACCACAGCTTTAAAGCAATGAAGAAGACACAGATGTAGCTGTCGAACTGTTTGATGCCTTTGTGAGGCCATTAAGCATTTTTTACTTTAAATTTTTCCATCGTTTGACACCTCTATCTATAGATGCAGTTCACTGGCGGGTCTAATTTTTTTACACTCAAGTCTTTGTCTCTTTCCTGCTCAGTGTGAATAAAATAGTGATTGGATTACAATCCCTGAAGTGTTTTGAGCTGAAGGCTGCATGGCAGTCATATCTTGTTGTGTCTTGTACATATGTTTTCAGGACATATGTTTTCAGGGCAGAATTTTTCCTAGATAACCTATACTTTTACAAACTTTAACAGAAATTTATTATTTCCTGGATTATGTAGCTCTCACCAATAAATATTTTTAGTGAATCAATGTATTTCCTACGGCAGGTTGTTGCCAATGCCAAGGATGTAGTTGTTGGAGCCAGAGAAGCTGTAACAACCACTGTGACTGGTGCCAAGGAAACTGTTGCTCACACGATCACTGGAGTTGTGGGCAAGACTAAAGAAGCAATGCAAGACAGCTTAGAAATGACTAAGTCAGTTGTCAGTGGGAGCATTAACGCTGTCCTGAGAAGTCGTGTGGTGCAAATGGTGAGCAGTGGAGTGGACAGTGCTCTCACTAAATCAGAGACCCTTGTAGACCAGTATTTCCCACTTACAGAAGCAGAACTAGGTAAGACCAATTGAAGCTTTGATTTTGTTGGAATGCTTGTATTAGCGAGAAGGAAGCAATCATCCGTTTATTGCTTATTTATAGTGGGGAGGGAGCATGTGCTTCCTAAGCTGCCTTTTGCCTTGCTGGGTGTAATGACATCTTCACAGGGGAAACATAATGAAAGTAAGGATTTCCATGTAAGATGATCTATCTTGTTGCTAACGGACTACTCAGCAACTTCAGTATTCAGCTGTTACTAGGCAGATAAAATTGTCTCAGACCTCTTTAAGTTTTCCTCCAGTGATCAATTTGCTTCCTTTCAACATACGTAGAGAAAGAAGCTGCAAACGTTGAAGGTTTTGAAGTTGGAGTTCAAAAGCCAAGCTACTATGTTAGATTAGGATCCCTGTCTTCAAAACTCCGCACACGTGCCTACCAACAAGCCTTAAACAAAGTTAAAGATGCTAAACAGAAAAGCCAGGAGACAATCTCTCAGCTTCACCACACTGTTAGTCTGGTAAGTTTTGAGCTTTCACTTGAGGTATGAAAAGCAAATTTTGGGGTAGTTTTAGAGTGAAGAAAACAGCCAAAAGAGCAATAGGAAGACTGGAATCGCTGCCTCACGCTAAATGCATTTTCTAAATACAAAGCATTTGCCATTAAGAGATTTTCATCACCATTCAGGAGATGTCCTAAATCAGGCTGAGCTGCGATTGTGCAGCTGCTTGTAACTGTAAGCACTGCAGAAATAAAAGTGACATATTTAAAATTGTATTCATGTTTTGTAGTTCTGGGTTTGACACTTGATTCAGTGACAAAAGTGTTTTGCAATTTAGACACACTTCAGTTCTTTAGGTCCTTTATGTTAACAAAATGTCAGATTCCTTTGGGGCTTACTGCTCTTGCTGGTTCTGTCTCTGAGTATTTCTGGGTACTTCAGTAGTCTTATCCTAACAATGTACCTTTATGTACAGGACAGACTGCACATAAAGAGTCATGGCCACCTGCACGCTTTCAGTTCCTTCTGTAGGATGCCAGTGGGGGACGCAGAAATGGTTGAGGCAGAGGGGAACACTACATAATGTCTCAAAACTGCTCCCAGTGTTCAATTCTTTGAACACAAGAAACACATTCTTATACTCCCAAAGTCCTTTATACTGAACTTCTGACATATTTAAAAAGAAGATTACAAAACAGTCAAGGTAGGGTAGCCTTAAAGGAACTGCTTGGACTCTTTGCTCTACTTCCTTATTTGGCTGTCTTTCAGATCGAGTATGCCAGAAAGAACGTGAATAGTGCCAATAAGAAACTTCTTGGTGCTCAGGAAAAGCTTTATCAATCCTGGGTAGAATGGAAGAAAAATACAGGCCAAAATGACGGTGGTGAACTGCGTAGTGCTGAGGTAAATAGATGTAAATGTACACTAGAGATAAATGGATTGTATACTGTGAAGGTAATGGAAAGCTAACAGTCCCTGAAGTGTGCATCAGAGAAGCTTATGTGCAAACATGAAATCGGGATGCTGAAGCTCAGGGCAGTTGACTAGAGAAAAGTAGGGGACCCAAGCTCTTAAATGAGCCTGCTTCCTGCAAACATTCTAGGGTTCATTCTCCTCTCATGAGAATGCTCATCCTGTTTGGTATGTGAACCTGTGTTGGGATGTCCATATGTAAATTAGCTAGAACTCACTTATCTGATGTGTCCAGACCAGAAATAACAATTTGTCAGCATAAAGCAGTCTTAGGCACAGGCTCGGATAGTCCTACATGTAGCTTTAAACAGTGGTTCATTGATTAGAATATACTTACCTGCTGTGACTTGTTATCCGGGGCTGAAACAAGAGTTTGCTTGTCTGTCACTAGGCAGAAGCCATCAGTGTTTCTGTTCACAAAGAACTTGAGTGCTGAAGAGATATCAAGTACTTTTAAGTCTCTGACTCTTCAGACTTAAGGCCCATTTTATTATCCGCTATAGCTTTATTTCACTTATATCCCCTTTACTTTGCTTCTTCATGTATCTTGAGCAACATAAAGTTGCTACAGTCATAAAATGACACTAATATGCTGTTATACTTTTTCTTTCTAGTACATTGAGTCAAGAACTCTAGCTATTGCACAAAGCCTCACTCAGCAACTTCAGACCACTTGCCTCACACTGGTCTCAAGCCTACAGGGGCTGCCGCAGAATGTGCAGGATCAGGTTTACAGTGTCGGGTCAATGGCAGGTGATGTCTACCAGAGCTTTCGGTCTGCATCCTCCTTCCAAGAATTATCAGACAGCTTTCTTACAGCTAGTAAAGGACAGCTGAAGAAAATGAAGGAGTCTCTGGATGATGTGATGGATTATCTTGTTAACAACACGCCTCTCAACTTGCTGGTAGGTCCCTTTTACCCACAATTGCCTGGCATTCAGCATGCTGAGAGCAAAGGTGAAGGGGAGAAAAATTCCAGCCAGAAAGACAAACAGCCTGAACACACTACTGAATAAACTGCATAGCTTGCATGTACTCTGCTGACTGACAAAACGAGTGGCCTTACCAAGTGTAGCTGTCAAAAAAGCCTTGGTGAAAAATCCATAAATATAGGAGGAGGGGAATCTACAGAGACAGGACACACTTACATATAAGCTGTGTGTTGTCCTGTGTAGTTAAGCCACTCTAAAAACTCAAACTGTCTCAAGTGCCTAAGTATTGTCAGCTTACAGTTGTCAAGATGCCTTGTTTGTCTGTCGAGAAACCTCACTATGCTTATCTGTGGTATTAATACCATTAGTATAAATGAAACCTACCCTAGCTAAAAGCTTTTGTTTTGTTCCTTGATCTCTACCAGAAGGCTATAAAAGCCTTAATACTATGAAATGCATTTAAAAGCCCTGCAGTATAGGTACACTTTCAGTCTATGTTTGCTGCAGATCACACTTTTGATAATTATGGATCTGTCTCAGACTCTGTTCCTACACAATTCATGACAAAAGTTCTGTGAGCGCAGGATGCCAAAGCTGAAAGTGGGGTTTCTGAACTGGTCAGCTGGAGTTAAATGCTGTGACAGTGTTAACATTAATATAAACTTAACTATTGTTTAACACAGTAACTTGATCACAGAATCATAGAATATGTCAAGCTGGAAGGGACCCATAAGCATCATCAAGTCCAACTTCCTGCTCCTCGCAGGATTACCTAAAACTAAACCATATGATTAAGAGTGTCGTCCAGATGCTCCTTGAATGTTTCCTTGGGGACCCTGCTCCAGTGATGGACCAAATAATTATCAATACATTTTTTTTCATATGCAGTATAAAGGTATTCATTCATGCTGTTTGTAACCAGATGCCTGCTGTTGTCCGTGTGTGTTTTTTATAGGCATCCTTTTGTAATTCATGTTGTATGTTAGTAATAAATGCTTTAGTAGCCAATGTCTGTCTCCATTTCAGTGGTGTTTTAAAACAGAGTAACTTGCTCTTCTGTGACTCCTTCAAACCTGGTCTAGCAGAAAGCAAGCTTGACATGCAAATGAGATAGATGTGCATTGAAAATGTGTTTGTGTATCTATAGATAGATAAGATACTGCTGCAGCATTTCCTTCCTCCCTTAGAGTCTGTGTGCATCCCTCCACTGAATCTTAGCTTTACTGCTGCTTTTTTTGGTCCTTGCTGTTGTCCACCTTTAATGATGACCTAAGCTGTGAGCTCCTGGATGTTTTAATATTGAAAAAAGAAGGATATGCACAAAAGAACCCTCTCCTCCCTTCACAGTAGGTGTTTGGTGTGCATGAAACTGCTGGCTGTCTGTTGGCTCCCTATAAACAGTGTATACTTCTCAGCTGCAACACCAGTTTAAACTTGTTTAACTTTATCTAACCTCCTTTGAACTTGAGTGACAAATGTACACGCAGCTACTTGGGTACAGTTTTTCCTCAGTAAATACTGTGAATCCTCCACTGGAAAAGAATTACTGTCACTATGAAATAAGCTTTCTTGGTTTGGGGCTGTCCAGGTAAGTTGTATCTGTGTTCCTAATGCATGCCCTGTACAACTTTTGAGTTGCAATCATTGAGTTGCAATGCTGGCCACCATTTTCAAAGAGGTCACCAAACAGTGTGAAGCAAATGGAGTTCAAAGGAAGCTTATCACATAGTGGCACATTGCTTCATGGAACAATACCTCTGTCTGGCACAATGTGGGCACTAAAGCAAATTACCTGTTATCTAGCCATCTACTGTGAGAGGGATTGCTTAACTGTTAAGTCAGGTTTGGCCTAGAAGTGTGAGGAAGACTTTTTAAGCACAATATTAAACAAATTGTAACAACATAATTAAAGAAGTGTTATCTATAATCCTCCCTGCTTTAAATATTTACTTTATGTAGGGAGTTGTTTAGCATAAAATTAACATGAAAGGATGAGATACTCTTTTCCAATTAGTACCTGAGTTAAGACTTCTGGAGTGCTTTCAGCAATTAACTTCTTTTAAAGTTTACTTTAACTATTGCATGAGCCAGCCAGAGACTATCCTTCTTTATCTCCATTTATAATAAAATTTTAGAGTGCATCCACTGTTGTAGATGTGTTCAGCAACAGAATGGAACTAATTAGGTCTGGGTGCAGCTGGCTGTTTAAAGAAGGGAATTCCCATTCTTCTATACATTTTAAAATCTAATTGCTCTGGGACTTCATCTTGAGCTGATCAATCAAATAAAATACCAAAACTTTTCACTGTTTTTTTTTAAGGATTGAGAAATAAACAGCATCATCTGCTATTAGTGAATAAGCAGTACATCTCTGTTCTGCCTTAAGTTGTGCTACTGGTTCGTACCCTTACATGGCTGTCCAGCTTTACTAAGCCTCTGCAAGCAGATGAAATAGAAAGCAAGGGAAACTGATACCAGCCTAGACCTTCAAAGTACTTCTCCCTCACCATGTGCTATTGGGTTGCTTCTGTGTAAAGTTCATTGACTTCTGACAGCTGACCTACAACTGGTGGCTGCAAACAGCAGTGCCTGGTTAAATGCTGGGCTTATAAAGCCTGTTAGTCTAAAATGCTATATGTAGGTTCCTGTGCTGTGCTATTGTGATAGTTTTGTAGTTTTGTTGGATGCTGCCCAGCCACTGAGTGCTTTAAGTTTTATCCGCCCCCCATCCCCCAAATAGAATTAGGAACCCTTCCCTAGTGGAAGAAAGGACTGACTAACAACAAATAAGTATATTCCTGATTCATTATATAGAATAAAGTTCTCTGGATTGAGATTATTATACTCTGCTAATACAGACAGCACTGAATGTTTAAACTGAATTGCAGCTGGAGCTTGCGTGGGTATTTTCTTGTAGATAATTTAGCACAGCATATCCCCACGCTCTAGTCTTACTGCAGCTGTACAGACAGAACTTATTTTTCTCTAGTGCAGCAAGAGAGAGCAACTATTAAAATGCCCATTGGAGGCAAAAATGATGCAGACACCTTCCAAAGTCATCTTTCTCTTTTTGCCACTGTTGTTTTTGACTGAAGCTGAGGTGCTTCCTTTCAAATAAAGGAGGGAAACCAGAGCAGAGTTTGCTCATGAATTTTCCTGTCATCCTACCTGTTTCTCTGTAATTGCATGTATCAAACAATTCAGGTCCACTGCACAGAAACTTGCTTGCTCTTAGTCCAAAATCACTTTTGAGGATATAGCTTGGGCTAGAAAGCTGTGAAGTTTCTCTAAGCTGTGAATTTACCTTCTAAAAAAGGTAAGACCATGTGCGTTGAAAATGATAGGAAATAAGTTCAACTCTTTGCAGCAAGGCAGATAAACTAGATGAAATGGAAGCATGTCAAAGGCTGATAGCCATACAAAACCTGGGAAGATAAAGGTTAAAATAGTAACATAATTACCTAGGCTACTTAGTGTTTATTTAGAATTCGGATACTGTTTCTCTTTAAGAGATCACTCACAAATTGTTCATGCTAGTTGACACTTCCTCCTTTCAGGTGCAGTCGACAGAGAACTATTATTCCATCATTGCAAATAGTCCTTTTCTACAAAAGCTCTAAATGTAAGCATTTGTAAATAGCACCATATGGTACGCAAGTTTGGCAAACATCATATTTATAGCATTGGTCAAAGCCAAATTACAAGATTTGTATAAGAACTGGAGTTGAAGCTGGTTTGCCTCAAACTAAAGAAAGGTGGAAAACTTTTGAAATGTCATCTATTCTTCAAGATTAATTTTTTTGCATTAGTATTTTCCAGAATTCAAGTTAGAATAATATTTTATAGGTAGTAAGATAGGTGAAAGGGTTTGGGAACAACTGATGAATTATTTTTTGCTATTTTAAAAAAAAAGCATAACTACCAAGGAAAAACTTATTTAAACCATCTAATTAAAAAGAGGAAACAGAACTAAACATTTTTAAGCATGATCTGTTAGTAATTTGCATGATCAGAAAGTTTTACATGCCACAGCTTGCTGGAGGTATTGCATAGTGTTTTGTTAAATTTATTTGTGTTCATATTCAGGTGGCAATTTCACTTCTTTTGGATAATACAGTCTCCGATGACTAAAAATAGGCGCTTTGTTTTGAAAATGCCCAAAATGAGAGCGATCTGTGGCTCAGTTCTGAAAACATATTTAGCAAGAAAAAATTGATCAAAGTTGTTAGTATTGATGTTACTGTTTGTGTATGAAGACAGCAAAACACTGAAGTATGTTCTGTACTATTCCATATAAGGTTTTTGCAAGCTGTTCACTTTTCTGTGTAAATGATTTAACTGCATCTTATGGAGAAATAGCACGAAGAAGGGTTGTATCTTATGCTTCTTGCAAGAATTGATAGGAAGTTGAAACAAAGCAGTAAGTCAACTGTGAAAAGTGGTATGGAAGTGAAGGTCCTTTACCTAAGCAATCCCGTAATGCCAAGAGCTTTGCATTGATTTAGTTAGACTGGTGCAGATGTTAGAATGTGCAATTCTAATACAATTTAGCATGTTCAAAACTGAGATAAATCATACTGACATCCACTCTGTTTGATGCTGACATACACTTCAATATGAAATTCTTTCATGGCTATGAAAATCTTACTCTTACATTAAAGGAGTCAGGTGCTTTTACTGCTTGCATTAAGAAGATGAGGAAAGCACAAACTTAAATTTCAGTGATTATTCTGTTATCAGTGAGAACAACATGGATATGAGTAAAAGCCTCTTAAATGTAGGATATAGTAAAAATTTTTACTGGTCAGACACAGTTACTGAACATGGTTATGTGTCCTGCTCAGTGTAAATAAAGAATAAACCAACTCATTTAAACAATTCCTTTGGGCACGTTTTTAAATGGTTTTGTGTATGGACTACTTAGCCTTAGTCTTGTTAAGATACCCTGATTTATACTACAGTATGGAATACAGGGTCATGTACCGATAGTGAGAAAACTTGTTGATTTCTCTAAGTTCAGTAATTAGAGTTTTAGGCAAATTGCCGTAAGCAGAAAGATGCAAGATAATTGTTTCTGGTAGAAAGATGTGTTTCCCTCATTCTTAGTGCCTTTTGATTTTGATTTTTTTGAGACAAAAATTACAGATCTCATTTTGATCAAGCTTAGGTTGTCAACAGTAGTGCCTGAAAAGTCACACACTGCTTAAGTTCTTCTAAAACTCAGTTTCAATTAATAATTAATATTTCTAAGTCCCTGGTGCCCTATGACTACCAACTCTGTAAGAAACTGAGTGATTCACATGCAGCAATCCTGTGCTGTGTACAGCCTGGTAGCTGAAACAGTAATCCCCTTATAATTTGATATCTTCTCTGCCCTTCTGACATGTCTTCAAAGCAGGCACAGCATAGCTTTTTTCTTGCCTACTGTCTTTCATAAAAGTAAGTCATAAGGTGTTTTGCAGTTAGGGAATGGATTAAAACTGTTTCTACAGTCAGCACTGAGATTAAGTTACAGAAATGCATAGAAACCTCTGCAAATTGTTGCTGCTTTGAACATGCAGAACCGAAGTCCTTTCAGCATGCAACAGTTGTTATTTGCTGATACTGTATCTGACTCCAAGTATGTCTCATCACCAACATTAAAACTAACTACTAATCAAACTACAGATGTAAGCATTTTTCACTTGGTGTAAAAAATTTACAGTTATGAGTAAATTGCTTAATTATATCCCATTTTTCAGAAGTGCCTAAGTAATCTAAGTCCTACTAAAGGGACTTAAGGGTTGGGACTTAAGCTCCTAAGTGTCTTAGCCAACATTTTTAGAAGTCTGTAACATCCATGTATCCACTAATGTTTCTAGCAATTCCTGAAACCTGGCGCTGCTTAACAGTACAGAATACTACACATGTAGTTAAAACAGAGACAAAAGTGAAATTGCAGTTCCAGGTATTTGTTTCCTCAGGAAAGGTTTAATTCAGTAGGCAGGCAGGGCAGTACAGAGCAATCCGTATCAATCTCCTCAGGGCAGATTACTTAATATAGTCCATTGCCTTTATGGAAAGAAGAAAGGCAAAGTAATTTTTAAAACCTCCTTTCTTAATTTTCCAGTCACCACTTTTACCAGTTTCACCAAATTCAGTCCACTGAGCTCATCTCTGTTACATCTCTAATGTGAGGGTCAAAACCACACAGGTACCCCCAAAATACTAGGCAGTGGAAGGATTTAGGAGAATTTATTTTCGGAGTCAAGAACACTTAACATATCAGCACAAAACTGCACCAGGCCTAGGAAAAGAAGATATGCCTGCTGTTCTTGGGGCTTTTATCATCCCAGGCCCTCCTGACCTTCAAACATGTCCGTAAGAACTTATCTTTTCTCATGCCAGGGAGAGCTTCTCTGGCATGCAGGAAGAGAAAATATCTAAAACTGTCTCTGGCCAAAGAGGAAAGCTTTCTTAAGTGAAAATCCCTAATCTCTTCACAGTAAAATCTTCCGGAAGGGCCTTCTACACTTATATCTACTATAAAATCCTGTCTTCTAAGCAACTGATCTGTATCTTGCATAGTATTTGGTCCGTGTTAATGCTATGTGTTTCATATGTGACTGAGCATATTTCACTCTGTATTCAGTATATTGGGTCTGATTTCTAGAGATGCTATGTATCTTTGTGTCATGACTTCAGAGAGGAGCACTGCACGAATTTGTTTAGTTAAATTGATTGAAATTTCATTCTGACACAGGTTCCAGATTTCACTATTACAGACCTGTCTTCAGAGTCAGATGATATCCCAGACATTTTGGATTTGGATGAAGAGGATCAACAAGACTTTTCACGCACAAATGGCCCTTACACTACAGGGCAAAGAGCTGAATAGAGAAGGATAAAAATCTTATTTTGATACAATGTACCTTTGCCATGTTTAATTTAGATTTCTCCTTTTTGAAGGTGAACCTGCCTAGTTTAGGGATTATGGGGATATTTTTTTAAAAATCACTGCCGTTTCATTTAGCTGCATCAAAAATCTGGGTTTTTTTTCTACATAAGGAATGCACACTACATTAATTCATTAGCATAGGTGTCAAGCTCCCATTCTATAAGCCAGGTATAGCCTAACCAGTGTATCCAACTGATCTGATCTTTGTTAATGATGTGTTCTCCTGCTGATAGCGGCCATGAGAACACCCCAGTGCTTTGCATAAAGGGCTGCCAACAAAAGGAGTTGATGAGGATTTGCCCACAAAATTTCCCCTTTCAGTCTACCTGAAAAGCAGTTCTGTATCTACCTCTTTGCTGCTGGAAGGGGTAAGAGACTTTGTCTATCTCAAATTTTCTCAAGTTCTTTTTGTTAGGCTCTGCACCTACAGAGCTTAGAAGCTTAGAGCTTTCCTTTGGCAAGAGTGCTTTATGCACAGAAGGACTCCCTTTCTTTCCACATACCTTCTGTGTGCAAATATTTTGGCCATTGTGATGCTATCAGTTGTGGCGCCTAAGACTAGAAGAGGGTAAATGCTTAAAAATTAAAGTTTTCCAGGAATAAGGGTAGCAGTTAGAAAAGGTAAGAGACTGTAAGAAGTGAGGGAAAATGGAGGACAAAGAGATACAGATGTGGGACAAAAGAAAATTGAAAAGAAAAAAAGAGGGAATTGAACGTGAGGATGCTTCTGGTAACAGTGTGGGGACTTTTTCTGTTTAAATAAAATGTCGGTTATTTTTTGAGGAATGATGAGGCCGCGTTTGCTCGCACACAGTAAGTTCTGTAGGAGTAGGGGAGAGTGAGAACGGGGCTGGAAGCGGGCTTGTTAACATTTGTTTTTAAGGACCAGACCGAGCTGCTCCGCCGGGGCGATGCAGCCCGTCGGGAGCCGTGTCACGGCGCTGATCCGTCCAGCGCCGCCCGCACCGCATCGCCCTACTGCGCGGCACCCCGGGAGACTCTGCTTGTGAGCACTTACAAGTCTGGTCACTGAAATGCCTTGAAATAAAAGTTTGAACCGCTCAGCTCGCTTGCCGGTGTGGTTGGTTTTTTTTTTTTTTCAGTTTGTTTGTTTGTTCCGTGTTAAATTTCGCCGTCCGATCACAAACCCATTTCAACGGGAAGGGCCCGCTGGCGGTTTCCTCGGCGCCCGGACTACACCTCCCGTGAGGCAGCGCGGCCGCCCTGCCTCGCTTTGGGGAGAGCGGTCTCGCGAGGGCGGGGGTGCGGGGCTGTTTTTGGCGGGCTGCGGCGCGAGGCGCGGGCGCCCGCGCGGTCCGAGCGCCCGGGGCAGCCATGGCCCACGTCTGGGAGAAGGATCACCTCTGGCTCTACTTGCTGGCCCTCGGCTTCGACCCGAACAAATGCCCCGAGGACGTGAACGTGGGACGGTCAGTGCGGGAGGGGGGGGGGGCGGTGGCTCTTCCACCCGGGAGCGCTCGGCTGGAGCGAGGCGGGAGCGTTTCGCCCTAGCCACCGAGGGTCCCGATGCCTCTGACAGTATGTAGCGCAGGGTAAAAGCCCGTAGTGCCACCGCGGTCCGTGTTACCTCTGTCCGAAAAATGAACCCCAGGAATGATAAGAGCTGCTCCCCCGCACAGTCCCGTAGGGAAGGCGAGGCGAGCGGCTCCCTAGCGCGTGTTTTCAAAACTGGCCTTGAAAGATAACGCTCTCACCGGAATTATTTCATAGAATAATAGCGCGTCAAGGAGTTGGAAGATCACCCCCTCGCTCACGGACAGGGGGACACCTCCCACTAGACCAAGTTGTTCAAGGCCTTGAACACCGCCGGGGATGGGGCTTCCACAGCTTCCCTGGGCCACCTGCTCTGGTGCCTCACCACCCACACAATAAAGGATTTCTTTTTCATATTGTACCTAAATTTCCTCTCTTTCAAGTTTTACTCGTTACTCCCTGTCCTGCTACTGCAGTTCCTTATGAAGAGTCCCTCTCTGGCTTCCCCGTAGGACCACTCCATATACTGGAAGGTTGCTGTGAGATCTCCACAGAACCTCCTCTTCTCTAGGCTGAACAGCCCAATTCTCTCTGCCTCCATAGGGGAAGTGCTCCAGTTCCCTTATCGTGGCCCTAGTCTGGACTTGTTCCAACAGTTCCATGTCCTTCTTATGTTGGGGGCAGCAAAATTGAATGCAGTACTCCAGATGGAATCTCAGAAGAGCAAAGGAGGAGAATCACCTCCTTCGACTTGCTGGCCATGCTTTTGATGCAGCCCTGGATTTCACCTGTGTTAAATAGGCTGGACGATGTATACTTTTACACACAAATAACAAAGTATTCAATGTATAATTTGTAATGCTTTAATATAACCTAATGTTTTGTAATCTTTAGTGGTCAGTAAAAATGCTCTATTAATTTGTCACCATAACTACTTCTGATAGGGCTGTTTATTTGTGTATTAGGCACATGTTTGATAAACCAAACCCCAAAGCGTTTGCTGTCGTTGCCCTCTTCTTGTTTACTAAGCTGGATAAGGACCGTGCACAAGAAACTTTTCGGTAAGTGTTTGGCTTGTGAGGTTATTTACTGCTCTGCCCTTAATTAAGAATATGTTTATACTCTTGCTGGAGGGAGGGAAGTGGTCACTTGGGGAATACTGTGGAAGAAGAGCATACAGTCAGAATATTTGTTTCCTTTTCATCGCTACTCTGTATCACAACTTCGGAATAATTAAAGTTGTGTCTGATAGTATCTGAAACGTGGTTTATCAAAGTTTTTAACTTTGATATAAACTTAATAGCTGCAAAGTAGTCTATCTTTTCCATTCATATTGCTGACCAAACAAAGAGTAACATTTCCCATTTATGGATTGCTGCCAGGATCTTCAGCATGGCAAGAACCCTATGTTTATTAAATGGTTTTCCTCTTATAGCTGAGCTGTTTTAGCTTATGCATCTGAAGACATGGCAGGAGGAAGACTAGTGATATGAAAATGGTCAGTTATGACCCCTTTTTTGTTCTTCTTCTTCCCTTATCCTAAGTTAGAAAGAGCTGCAGACTAATCTGTCTCTGAAAGAGTCTGTAGTTAACTTATGGAAAGAAAACATTGTCATTTAACAAACTTTTAGCTATTCTTGGTCTAGGATATATGGCCCTCATTTGCTGGCTCCTCTAGTAGGCATAAAAAGAAATCTTTGTCTTAGTCTTGTTTTTATAATGGTTAATTAAGTATCTGGATATTTGAACATGTTTTGAATTTTTTTTTCTTTTTTTCACTCATCCTTTTTAAATGGAAAGGAATTATGTGTTGGGAGTGGAAACCAGTCTTCAATTTAGGAAGCAGTGCTGTAACTGGCTAGGAGAAATATCAGTAAGTATCATGAAGAGTGGAAGTTGATGCTGTGCTGGTTTCTGTGACCTCATTTTTTTTGAGAAAACTCCTTTAAATCAGAGTTTTAAATAAGGATTTTTATCAAAGAATTCAGTTTTACCTTGTGTGTTCTTTCACATAGTTTATTTTGGACTTCTTTGAAGAAAAGACTGTGGCATTGTGGAATTTAGATGACAGGGACCTAATCTTAGGTCTTAAAACTTCTGTGGCTTGCTTCTGGGTAATGGTATTTAATTAAACATAAGTCTAGAGAGTTCCTTAGCTCTGGGTGAGAATGACTTCCTTCAGCTTGAGAGGTGTTTGTTTAAGTTGCCTGGGAATGTGTTTATTGTGAAAGCTGTTTCACATGCATGAAAAACTTTAATATTAGTCTTTCCTTGTATATAAGAAAAGGGACTAAAATTTAAGGCAAGCTTTTTAAAAAGATAAATCAAAACTGATTGCTTCAGGTATCATTGGTTATTATGTTACCTTCTTATGCTGCCTTTGTTTTAATAATTGTTCTAGAAATTACATCTTTATATACTGCAAAACTTTCGATTTTTTAGTAATAATGGACAAAGTGTAAGCCAGCAATGCAGTATCTTTGAATATGGTAAAACTGCATTAATTAATTACTTGAGTGGAAAATACGAAAGAAAACTTTAATGTGTTTTCAAAGATAGGGATTACCAATTAGGAAGGCACCGATTTCTCACATTTATCCAACACTAATTTCAGTCTTTGCATTGAAGCTGTCTTGTGTACAGAACTAGGGGTGGTGGTAGGAATATTGAAAAAGGCTTTGTTCTCTTCTGCTGACTAGAGAAAGTGTCAGCTGTGGTAGCAAAGTCATTTAGCTTTGCATCAGGCTTGCTAGCAAGTAGTCTGTAGTGTTTTGGTACTCAGCTATGTGTTTGATAGCTGTTGTTTATGCTTTATTTCTTAGATTACATCTGTGTTTAAAACAATTTAACTTTTCTAGCCTCCAGGGAAAAGCTGTCTTCCAAAGATTACACCTTCATCACTGCTTTCTCCTACTGGTCCTAAATTTGTTCACTTAGTCTACTGGTTTGCAAGATATGTAATGATTGAGGACATGAAAAAGTTCTCTGTAGGTAAGTTGTAATGAAAGAATAAAAATGCTTTGTTTGTTGTGTTTGTACATCTGTCGGTCTTTAATGTATGACAAGAGCTGTAAGTAGTTCTGAGTTGGCTGCTCAGTTCAGTCTTTCACAGCGTCCTGTGCCCTTGTGTAGAGCTACTGCTGATAGAACGATGCTGATTGTTTTGCTCTCTGTTGCTTTATGGGTCTTGTTCCAAGGCTCATCTATGCGATGCTCTACACCACTGGCTACACAAGCAATGATTTGGTCCAAAAGTATTGGCTTGCTATACCATATTCTTCCTCAGAACTTGATGAATTCTGAAGCATCAGACCTGTCTATTCTAGGCATCTTGTATTGTTTTGATAACCTAAAGAAAAAAGAAAGAGAATGAGGGAATGAAGATATATACAACAGAAAAAAAATGGCAAAAAAGGCAGTACATTGCGTGCTCTATTTCAGTCCAGGTAAAACGAGCATCTTGATTTGTGATCATTTCAGTTCAAACTAGGTAGATTAAGCAGCTATCCATTTGCTAAAAGTGAATGATGTCATCCAAACATGAACTTCTGTTTAGGCACTTGTATACCTTTTGCTGAAGCTGTAAGGTTGAGACCTGAGGACATGGACATTGCAAAAGCAAGACATAGAGTTGGATACAATAAACTGCTGCAAATTCTTCAAAAGGAAGACATTGTTATTCAAGAATATGGGAAAAAAGCACAGTAAGTAATGCATTTAAAGAAATTTAGTATTTTCATAAAAGCTGACTTAATGCGTGTGTGTTTTTGAAGGGATTTGAGGAGGCTACATCTGCTTTACCTCATGAGTTCTCCCATATTTTCCCCCTTTACATCTTTTAATTGACAGCTCTACTGTTTGTAGATCTTTTGTGAAGTATAGTAGTCTAAAGAAATTAGTTCTTCATTTAGGAGATGCTGTATTTTGGAAGATATGATCAGTAGGGCATTAAAATGATCAGAGAATTCTGCATGTATAGCACACTATGATTTCTTAACTTTTGAAGGGTCATATCTTTAAAATATAACTGTCTCAGGATGAAACATTTGGCTTTGCTTAGTCATTGTGAGACATATTTTGTTTACAGGAACCTTAATTATTTCACCAAAAGTATGCTATTTATTACTCTTTTTTTATGGAAGACCTGGAACTTTCTGTGCAGTCACAGAGTTGTGTATCAATGGAATTTAAAGGATCGGTGTGGGATAGTTTGTGACTGGAGCACTGTCATGGACAGTTGTGAGCTGTTCAATAAATGGCAGCAAAGGACAATGAGTTGCACTATAGGTAAAAGAGCAGTGACAGTGCACGTAGCATAGCTCCGCACAAGAGGACTAATCATGTTTCATGGCTTTGGATCAAGATCTGAGGGTTTAGCATCCAGGCAGACCTCATGGTGGGTATCAGCTGGCCTTGAACGAAATGATAAGTTAAAAGTTTTACAGGCTAAAATACTGTGTGCTTTGCCTCGGTGTGCATGGCTAAAGTCAGTAGCCCAGTCTCTATTCCAAGAAGCAATGGTGAAAGAAGCAACAAAACACTGATAGAAGAAGAGAGCGCAGCGAAGGTTTCACTGCTACCTGATGGAATCATCCAAGCATGCAGGGATACTTACCTGGCATAATTTCAGAACAGCTAAAGGGGTGAGCCCAAAGGGTGATAGTGCCTCAAAGTTGTAACTGGTGTAGCTGTCCATGAGTGGAGTTCTTCTGTGGCTAATACTGTGTCTTCCTAAGGGATATGGATGACAAGATTGAATGCAAACTGGCCAAACTTGCAGAAGGTGCCAAACTGTGAGGAAAGGAGATACATTGCAGTGAGGAGGCATTACATAGAGGGACTTTGCTGCGTTTGTAGACCTGCACAACAAAAATTGTGTGAGATTTAACAGAGGCTAGTGTGACCTCCTGCACCTGGGATGAAGTAGTTCCCAACAGCAGCACAGGCTTGTGGATGATTGTCTGGGAAGTAGCTCTGCTAAGAACTGGAGGTGAGAGTAGTGTGGGGCCATAAGCTGAGCATGAGTCAGCAGAGTGCCCTGGTTAGCCAAGGAGATCAGCAGCCTGCTATGCTGTGTGGAAAAGAGCACTGGTCAGGACGTGGTGAGCAATTGTATTGTGCATCACTTGTTTTTCTTGTTTTATTCCTCTCTCTCTTTCTGCTTTACATCTCTGTTGTTACAATATTTTACTTTATTTCAGTTATTAAACTGTTCTTAGCTCACAAGTTTTACCATTTTTCAGATGCTCCCTTATCCTGCTGGACCTGGGGAAGTGGGGAGGGAGTGAGCAGCTGTGTGATACTTAGTTGCTGGCTGGGGTTGGCAATTCTATCACCACACCTGGAATACTATGTTGAGTTTTGATTGCCCGATTGAGGGGAGAGTAAAAGATGGGAGAGATACTAGCAGAGGACCACAGTGTTTAGAGGGTTGGAGAACTTGACACATGAGTAAAAGCTGCAGAAGCTTGGTTTGTTTAGCCTGAGAAAGGCAATGCTCAGGGAGATTAATCACAATTTCAGTATCTAAAAAGTAGTTGTAAAGAAGATGGAGGTACTCTCTTAACAAGGATGTATGGTGACAGGACAAGGCAACAGGCACAAGGTACGTAGGGGAAAACTCCATCTGGATTAAAAAAAAGTCTCATATGAGAACAATTAAACACTGAAAAAGGTTGCCCAGAGAAATGGAATCTCCATTCTTGGAAATATTCAAGACTTGGCTTGACAAGACCATGAGTAACATAACTAAAGGCTCTGCTTTCAATGGAAGGGTCAGCAATACAATTTCCAGAGGTCAAATTCTCATGAACTTGTCTGATTTCTATAATTCTGTATCTCCTGCGACCTTGCTTGGGAAACATTACTGCTATTGCATAATGATATCCTTCAAAAATACAGTTCTTTATAGTTTTTTTCATTCTTGACAAGGGATCACAACTCTGAAGATCCTTGCGAATTCAGCATGATTAGGCACCCAGTGTTTCTGAAAATCAGACCACTGTTTTTACATGCTTAAAAAGTCAATAAAAGTGCTTCAGCAAAAGAACTTAAGTGGTCCAGCTGCTTGTACTCCCATATTCTGTTCTCTGGTCTTGAAACTGAGGTATGTGGTACAATTGATGAATATGTTTGGAGGTTTATGTTGATAATGTACATTTCTAGTAACTTCATTATAGTTGTTGGGTCTAATAGAAACCATTCTATTGAGACAGCTTGATTGCTTAATTTATATATATCTTAGTCGCTTTCCTGACACTAATTCTACATGAAGTCATGGTAAGGAAGTTTTATTAACTTTTTTTTTTTTTACATTATTCCACAAGTATCTCAGTATGCAGATTTTGAAAGAATGAGCAAGATTAGTTAGTGGCTGCAAGTAATTCTGATAAACCTGTGGTAACTGTTAACTTTTTTCCTAGGGTTTTAGTTAAAGAAATAGAAGAGACAGAGTCTGAATATGCAGTTATGCAGATACAGTCTTTGAGGTAAATGTTTTTCCTTGTAAGTTAGGATATATAAAATTGTTTAGTTGCTCAGTTTTATGAAATAGGAACTGTAATTTCATTATGGTCCACTTGAACTTTTGTTTTGCATGTGCATATAGGATGAAACAAAATGACCAAAACAAAAGTGACACAGTTGAGAGAATTGAAAAGGTGAGGATTTTGTTTCTGCTGTGACAGTGTATTGTATTTCTTCTGATGTTTCTGCAACACCTGCTCTCAGATACTTTTATTTCCCCTTGTCTACCTCTGAGTATGCTGGCCCCTTCATCTGCCTTTACACTGTTTTGATACTCTGTCATTATAGATATTATGGCAAACATTTTAACATAGCGTTTTTGTGTTGCCCATTAAGGTCCGCAGTATGTGGACACTTATAATGGAAATGCTTACATCTCTGAAAAAGGATAAGGAAGTTGTGGATTCTATACTTGAAAATTGTGCGCATCAGTGTATTTTAGATGGAACTGATGTTGTTTTGAGAGTTCCAGGGTTGCTGGCTCACAGAATTGAAAATGATGAAGTAAGTAGTTTTTGTTCTTCTTGCTAAATTTCTAGTCCCCAGGGGTGCAGTTAGATACCTTAAAAAATAAATACTTCATGGATTATAAGAGATGATTGCTAAAGGGTGCGTAAAATACGTAGTCTATGCAAAAACTTGTTAGGATTATAATGCTCTTTTGTATTTGTTATGTTTAACCCATTAACTTTTTTGGTTCAGTAGCTACATTGATAAGTAGTAGTTGGTTAGTACTTGGTTAGTACTACTTGGTTAGTACTTGACTTTTTTGTTGTTTAGACATTAAAACTAGGTTGACTGGTTTAACTATTGCTTTAACTTTTGCTTTTGTTTCCAGTGTGTAGTATATGGTATTGTTCAATTATGTCATTGGTGTTGTTTGTATCACAGCTTTTGGGATAGTGGTTAAACGGAATACCTCATTGGTTGAAGTTTCCTTGGTTCATATTGGTTTAATCTAGAATGCATTATTTGACAAATGAAACAATCAGGAACTGAATCAATCTGCTCTTACTGCAGAAGACATAACTTTCTGATATTGGTACTGTTCATTAATTTTTTTTCTTGCTTGCTAAACTTCAAGACTTTTACAGAAAATGTATATGAAGATGGAAAATTGAAGTTCTTAGCAGTCATGCACGTGTTAAATGAAACCTTGAGGATGTTGAGAGATGAACACTGTCAGTCTGAATTAAAAGAACTTCACAGGATTGAGAACATGGTTAAATCTTGCAATAAATTATTACAGAATTTGAACACAAAGAGGTAATTGTTGGCAAATTTTTTCTGGTCCCGTGTTCTTAAATCTTAGGATCATGTCTAACTACCCTGGAGACTTTTCTAGAAAAATGTTACTTATAGGAAAGACATTTGGTTGAGTCATTTTCCTTTGCCTCTGGGAAATTAACGTTTGTCTTGACTATTTATATAAGTTTTAATTGAGACTCTTCTCTAAGTAACTTCAGCTTTCTGTCTTGGCTTCATTAATATTCTAGACTTTGTTCCTGGGAACCTCATTTGCTAGCTGATCTGATTTTTACTTTTTTTTTCTTGTTATGTTAATAGGTTCTGAGATTTTTAAAACTTCTACCTGAACCTAGCTTAGGGAAGTTTAAAGAGTGTATCTCATTTGTGTATGTATTTAAATATAATTCTGGTGCAAAAACATAAGGATACCTAGCAGCCAGTTTTTTGGTTGTTATGCTGGTTTAAAGGTAAACTGGCAGGAGAAATGAACTCAACTCAAAAGAGATTATAAATCAGAGTTACAATTTAATAACAATAATACAATAAATACAATTATACGGACAAACAATTGGTTTTAACCCACAAAACCCAGATGTATAACCCAGCACCCTGGGGCGCAAACAGAATGGTGTTTGTTGGCCCCTGTGCTGAGCCCCACCTGGTCCCCCTGAGTCCAAAGTAAGAGGGGAGGAAAACCTGTTGGTGAGAGTGCTGGTTGCAGTCTGGTCAAGGGTGGTGGTCACAGTCCGGTCGAGGTTCTGATCCTCCTCTGGATCCAATGAGTAGGGCCCAGAAGTCCCACAACCCCAAGATGATATACACTCAGGTTCGAGTGGGAATGCCCAGTACCTCCCCCAGGGCAGGGAGTTCCACAGTGGGTGACTGTGAGTCGTGAGGTATTTTTGGAATCCTTGATGTCCCATTAGCAGACATGACCCCTCATGCTGGGTGTGGAGGTGCTAATGAGTCCCTGGAGGGGAGTCATTTGTGTGAGGATAGGAATATCCTCCTATCTCACAGGCTTCTTAACACCCAGCTTATAGCCTGAGGAGTCAGGTGTGCTCTGGGCAGCTGCTGCAAATGGTCTATTGTTAACAGTTCCTGGGAAATGACATAGAGGGTGTAGAATACACTGTTTGGGTTACACCTAAACAGTGATGAACTGCTCCTGGCTGCTCTAACTAGGACAGTTGTGAATTTCAGTTAGTTCTTAGTACAGGCACAAATGCATGAATAAGTTCATACATATGACAGGTTTTGCAGAATAAGGAGAACACATAATACATCTTTATGCAGAATTGTTATCTCCACAAACAGATGTGTTACCATATGCAGAATTGTTATCTCCACAAACAGATGTGTTACCATTTTCCATGCTTATATGTTACAGGCTAGAAAGAGAGCATCAACATTGTGTTTCAGTGTGTGAATCTATTTTTAGAAAAGAGGAAGACTGGGAAATGAAGTGGAAAACACTTCTTGGCCATCATCCTTTTAATTCAATCTTTAAAGAGGATCTAGTAAGTGGTGTTCAGTTTATCTGATTCTGGGGAAGAGAAGGTGAGGGAGGATGTAGATCTACACTTAAGCTTTATATGTGAGGCTGGGGGCATTACATAGTGCAGAATAGCTGATTATGCTTTATGAAGTCTTTCTAAAAGAGAATACATTTGACTTTATGACAGCTGTGTCTTCACTTGAGATGGGGGAATGGAACCATCTTGTCAAGATAGTAGATCAGTGTAAGAGTGAAGTGATTGGTTTTGGTTTTGTCTCTGTTCATCCCCCTGTGGAAGTTGAGCATTTGTGTGCTCTCAGTCCGAGTTCTGTTTTTCCCTTCTAGAGTGGTGTGCTTGATGAACGAACAAAAATTTCCATTCTGACACTCAAAGGTTATACCATTGCCTGGCTACCCAGCAGAGAGAGAAGCTTCATGTTGAGTCTGAGAGCTGATTTGCATAAAAGCTGTTGTAAATAACTATCTGTTAATTGCTGTTGATAAGCAGATTTTTTCAGCCTCCTTGTGTAACCTTTTCCTTCATTTTGAAAGGAACCTAGTTCAACAGCTTCACCACCCCAGTCTCCTAGTCTTCCAGAAGAAGATAAAGACAGTGACCTTCATCAATATCTAGCATCAATTTCAGGTGAGTGACAGGGAGAAGCTTCTTTTTCTTCTCCCCCACTGCCACAATTGTTAAAAGTTACTTGGAGTCAAAAAGGCTCCCTGCCTGTGTTTGCAGATATTCTATAGTAGTCTGTGTTAATCTGGTTCTGAATGACTCTTTGTCACAATTTTTCAGCCTTGTCTTGTCTGGGAGATCCTCTGAAGTTTGGCAAAAACCCAGTGCTGAGCTGTTTGATATTTTGTTGTTCTTGTACTAATGATGTTGAGACAGATTTATGTGTACAAAGGTTCATGGGTTCTAGAAAATACATTCAGTAAAGATATTGGGTTGAAGGAGTAGTAAGAAAGAAAGAAAGAAGATAAAACTTCCCCACTGGTCACATAGGAAAAGAAACTGAAGGGGTCCTTGCAGGTAAGTATCTTTCCCTAGTACATTCTGAAATAATTCCATAGTAACTGTGCCATTTGATTAGGACCTTATTTGGTGCTTCCAGTCTTTAGTTTACCAGTGTTGATCAAAGCTCACTTTGATCATGGTTGTTGTACATGCTAATCAGCTGATAGGCTGATTATATTTTACTGGGTAATGCTTATTTACAAAATGCTTGATGTCCCTAGTAGAGTTAGAAGTTACAAAGCAAGGGGGAAGACTGCTTGAGTCGTGTCACTTGCAGTCCCTCTTAGGAAAAATGGCATAGCAGAGGCATATTGGAATTTCAAGGTGCAAAACAATAGCAAGAAGATCCTTTTGGTTACAAAGATGAAAGTGCTTCTCCAGCAGTCTGAGGATATGTGGGTAAGGCTAGAAGCTGCAAAGCAAAGGCCACAGATCTGCAAATGGAAGGAAGGTAGTTTGCCTTAAAAATTTTAAAGATTGTGCAATGATGCTGTGAGCTGGTAATATCCAAAAGCTTGAAACAGACTGTGTCTGTGACATTCTCTCTACTCTGTGGTTAAGATGCTCAATTGGAGAATCCAGCCATTAAGAAAACTTGACTTTCTGCCTGTTGATATAGTAAGCTCTAAAAATTAACCTCACCTAACAACCTGAAGTGAGCTTGGATTTTGGATGTGTTGTTGAGGTGAATGCAACAGGAAATGCCATTTGTCTTTGCAGAAGCTGAAATTTAGGGTTAGTAGAGAACTAGTGAGACATCAGCTTTTCATTAAAGATGTGCTAAAATTAGTATTTATTATTCTAGAAGGTCCTTAGCTGAGGTATGTGTACCTCTGATAATGTGCAAAACATTTACTTGTAGTGTGCTTTGCCTTGCTTAAACTGAGGCAGCAAAAGGGATGAGAGATATTTATTAATTAATGCAGTTGGGGTAAACATGAGTGGAATTGTGCTTTGTGTAGTTGATGTGCCACACAACTGATGCATTTGTGGAGAGGTGAGGCTAATAATGAAGTGGCTGGGAGTGTAGTTTGGAAGAAGGTGGAATGTGTGATTGATAATGTAGGGCAGCAGATAGTACCATTCTTCTTGAACATGTGTTCAGGAACAACACAAAGAGCTGGCTACTAGTGGCATCTGTGGCTACAGGTGGTACCTGAGCAAAAGGAATGATAACATTGTCCTGCTTACATATTAATTTATTTTTCTTGAAGAGTTTCATAAAGTCCATTCTGTGAGTAGTCTACAGAAGTGGTATGAGTCAGTCATGTCACCTGGAAAGCCTGCACAAAGAAAATGGAAGCAATAATAAAACTTTCTACTTGCTTTTCTAGGTATTTTTGACTCTCTTAATAAAGAACCTTGTGAGAAAGATGAGGGAGCTTTGGAAACCATGATGGATAAGTCATCATCACCACCAAAATGGTATGTTTAATGAGAAAATGATAAAAAAGCAATGGGAAAAAAAAAGAAATTTATTTGCTGGACTTGAATATTTTGAATGTCTTGAACCTTAGTGGAATATTTCAGTAGCCCATTTCTTACATGTCACCACCACCTAATTTAGCAAGATAGGCCTAAAGTAACTGCTGCTTTCTCTGGCTGGTGACTGATTGATCAACTAGTTGCTCCGGAATAGGATGCGTAGCAGCCAAGTTGCAAGGTTTTTATCTCACTTTTTAAATATATTGTTCCAAGCTTTAAGAGGTGGGTGGAGAGAACAGAAAATTTCGTTTCTTAGGCTAAACCTCCTCAACAAGACTTTTTTATGACTCTTCTTGAGAGTTACAGTTACGTTGTTCTGTAACTACTCTTACTATATTACCAGTGAAGGATAGAACACAGAACAATGATATTCTAAAATTTTTTGCCCGTTTGTCATTTGCTTAGTCCAGGAACGTTTCATGACCTTTTGAATAATTCTGTATTTCATAATATGAATCCTACAGATACTTGAAAGTTTCCTACTAGGAGAGAAAGGAAGTGTTGTGGGTTGAGGTGGCTGGGTTTTTGGTAGTGGGGGGGGGCTACATAGGGTGGCTTCAGTTAGAAGCTGCTAGAAGTTTTCCCCCCAGTGAAGCCAATGATAGCTGGCTACAGGACGGACTTCCTGCTGCTGGCCAAGGGAGAGCCAATAATTATGCTTCTGTGATAACATATTTAAGAACAAGTTTGTTGCACAGAGGAATTCCAGCCAGGGGAGAGCTGACCAATGCTCCTGGGTGGCCCTGCCGCCTCCCCCGCTGTGGGGGTGGGGGGGTGGGCAGCGGCAGCCCAGCCTGGGCCTCTCAGCACCTAGCCCAGAGCAAGCACTGGCGCCCCAGCCGAGCCGCCCGTGCTACTCTTGGCAGTGCCGGCCGAGCTGAGCAGCAGCCCCTGTGGAGGGGTGGATGGGGCCGGGGCAGCGCACTGTGGTGCAGCCGAGCCCATGCTGGAGCAGATGGATGTATGGAAGAAGGCCGTTATCCCCATGGAAGGCCCAGGATGGAGCAGAGTCCTTCAAGAGACTTGTGGCCCTTGAAGAGGAAAATCCACACCACAGCAGGTTATTCCCAGGTAGGACTCATGGTCCTGTGGGGAATCCACATCGGTACAGCTCAGCCTATGAAGGACTGCATCCTATGAAGGACCATTGGGGTACAGAGCCCCCCGTGCACCCCATGGAGAAGTGACTCTTGGGATGGTAGATATGGAAGAACTACTGCCTGAGGGGTGGACTCACGTTGGAGAGGTCCATCAGAGACTGTTACCCGTGGGAGGAACCCCACAGAGTAGGGGAACAACTCAGTGCTGTGGCCCCCCATGTAACCTGTGGTGAGGACCATGGTGAAGCAGGCTGTTCCCCTGTAGCCCATGGAAGAGTGACCTATGAGACAGCAGATTTGGAAGAACTGTTGCCTGAGGGGTGGACTTGTCCCCCTGCACTGTGGCAGGGGGAGGAGGGAGAACATGGAAGGAAGGAGGGGTGGGTGGAAAGTGTGTTTAAGACTGTTTTATATCTCGCTCTAGATCTTATCCTGTTAGTAATAAATTTTAGCATTAACCCCACCTTGAGTCTATTTTGCCTCTCCCAGCTCAGAGCGACTTCAGTGGGTGCCTAGAATCTGGCCAAGGTCAACCCACAACAGGAGTTAGCAAAGGAAGGTTGTCCTTTATTGGAAATATGATTCTTAGACATCAGCAGAAGTAGTTGCATATAAGTCTCAGAGATTGTCAAAGTAGTTAACAATTAAATTCTGGATTTCTTTCAGTGACTTCATACGGCATAGATTTTTGTTGTCTTCTGATTCTACAGACAGGTAACAGCAAATGTTAAGATTTTAAGGTGTGCTTTTCCTAACAAGTGAGGACTGCATTTTTGAGAGCTATGAAATTAGCACTAAACTCCCTAGAAGTGTTAAGGCTGAAGTCTTTGGTAGCCAGGGGATTGTTAAATATCAACAAGTTTGTATAGGAACAGACCTGTGAATGCTGGAAGTGATTCAGACAAAGAATACAATATCTAGGAGAAAGAATGATGTCAAGTGTGCAGAAGACTTTTTAGTTATCTTTGATTGCAGAATGCCGAAAACTTGTTTACAAAAATATTGCAAAATCCCTCTTTTTCTGTGTAGTAATCAAGGGCAAAGTTTATTAATTTATTAATTTTGGGAGGCTGATACACAAGTAGGGCTAAATCTGCCCTAATTGTCACATTGTTCTCCCTATAGTAAAATTGCTTTCTGATGACCGGGACGAATTGAGGGAAATCGTAACGGACAGATACGGAGCATACAATATGTAACAGCCTTTTAAGATGCCAGGCACCCACTGAAGCCACTCTCTCACTCTCCCCTCTACAACCAGACAGAGGAGAGAGAAAAAAAAACAGCTAAGGATTCATAAGTTGAGACAAAAGCTGGGAGAGGTCAGTTACTGATTACCTTCATGGGCAAAACAGACTCAAAGTGAGGATAGTACTTAAAATTAGTACTAACAGGATAAGAGCAAAAGAGTGAGAAATAAAACGATCTTAAAAAACACCTTCCCCCCACCCCTCCTTCCTTCCATGTTCTCCCTTCTCCCCCCCAGCAGTGCAGGAGGACAGGAATGGGGGTTCCCACTAAGTTGCTGTTTCTGCCGCTGCTCAGGGAGAGGAGTCCTTCCCCTGCTCCTATGGTGTCCCTCCCACGGGAGACAGTCCTTGATGGACCTCTCCAACGTGAGTCCGTCCCTCGGGCAGCACTTCTTCCCAAACTGCTGTCCCATGGATCACGCCTCCATGGGGTGCAGTGCTTCATGGATGAGCTGTACCGATGTGGGTCCCCCACAGGGGCCACAAATCCTACCCGGGAAAAACCTGCTCCAGCGTGGGCTTCCCTCTCCACAGACTGCAGGTCTCTGGCAGGACCCTGCTCCATCCTGGGCCTCCCATGGGGTCACAGCCTCCTTCATGCATCCACCTGCTCCAGCATGGGCTTCTCCATGGGCTTCAGTTGGGTCTCTGCACCCCAGTGGCTCTCCATGGGCTGCAGGGGCACAGCTGCTCCACCATGGTCTGCACCATGGGCCACAGCAGCCTCAGCTCTGGCGCCTGGAGCACCTCCTGCCCCTCCTTCTGCTCTGACCTTGGTGTCCACCTTGTTATTCCCATGTTCTCACTCTGCTCTTCCCTGTCTGGAACTCCTTAGGTGCAACAATCTTCTGTTCTTAAATATGTTATCACAGAGGCATTACTATCACTCCTGATTGGCTTGGCCTTGGCCAGCGGCAGGAAGTCCATCCTGGAGGCGTCTGTCATTGGCTCCACCGGACAGGGGAAGGTTCTAGCAGCTTCTAACAGAAGCCACCCCTGTAGCCCCCCCTGCTACCAAAACCCAGCAACAGAAACCCACTACAGCATTCCACAAGTTTAATTTGTCTCTAAAATTGTTGGTGTGGGTTTTTTTCTTTTTTTACACTCTCTTTCTCTCCCCCTCAAGGATCTCTTCAGTGCTGTTGAAGCTGTTGGAAGCACCTGAAAACAGAGACCTGTTGATCAAAAATGTAATTTTCTACCTTTCAAATAAGTTAAACTTAGGACATGTACTTTTTATATTGATCAAAGCCTAGACTTTTTGGGAGAGGGTTGTGGGATTTTGTTTTTTTTTTTTACTGTGGTTGTGTGTTTGGTAGGCTTGGTTTTGTGTGTTCTTTGGTTTTGTTTTTTTTTTTTTAGCAGTATTCTTACCCATCTGAGTCAGTCCTGTAAAACTGTAAATAGGGCAGGAGAAAAGAGGTGCACTGCACCTGACTTCCAGGGTAACATAAAGTGTGTGACTGATTCCCTGCTTGCTGAAACAGTCTTTTTGGTGTGAGCTGTGGTCAGACTTCGTTTCTTTAAGTGTGTGTAAACTTGAGGGTTAAAAAGTGCTGTAAAATCAACTTGCATGTACAACTGTCCATTGCACAATTGTTCACTGTACTGTGTTGGAGGTAGTTGCAAATGAGTTGCAAATCGTCTGTGTTGTGTATAACAACCTGTCCTGGTCACTACTTATGTCCTACTTCGAATACAGTTGTAAAAATATTTTGTCTTTAGTTAGAATTCGAGACTGAAATATTTTTATTGACTAAACATTTGGGCCATTGCTTTTTGGAATTCATACAGCAATTTGTTCATGCTAATATTCTAGTACTTGAGTTTACAACTGCTAATAATTCCTGAATCTTCCTCTAGAATTTGCATATGGAAACTTGTGGGGGAAATAAAAAACCTGTGCCTCCGCAAATCCTAAAAAATGGAAAGGAAGAGTTCCTCATTTCAGAAATGCAAGAGAATTCAGGTCAAGATGTTACCCTGCCAAAGACTCCTGTGGAAAAAGAAGACCTTCTTGAGAAAGCCAGAGATGAACTGGCAGAAGAGGTTAGGAAGAAATTTTTTTGTTTTTAAATAAATGGTCATAAATGGAAAATAAATTGCATTTTTCACTAAAAATTTTCCCTAGTTACATTTCATCTGCTAAAATGTTTTACTTATGTAAATATAGCTCTAGTCTTCATGCTTATGCTGTTCTTGACTAATGTCTTAAATATATTCTGAGCCCACTTTCTTGTTTGAAAGACAGATTCATAGATGATGAGAGAACTTAAGAGTTGAATTCTGATTTCAGTCCCCTCTTTTCATTTTGTGGGACACTACGGTCATTGTGAACCTAAATAATAAATTATAGAAAAGTTGAGATATTTCAAATTCTCCAGATGATTCGGAGAGTGGGATTTATTTTGAACCATACCTGATAGAAATAAAGAGGTTTCAGTTTTGCTTTCTCAGAATTTACCCTTCTCTAACATCCTACAGATTGCAAAGACTGTGATGTCTGAGTCACCTGACAGTGATGAAGATAAAGGAATGTCATTAGATGATCTCATTAGCTCACTGTGTTTTAACCCATTTATAACAAGGAAAGAAATTCCGCGAACTCCGGAAAATCTGCGTAAGTTTGAAACTGTTTTTATAAAGCTCCTTTATTAGAAACGTGATTAGTTCGTTGACATATTGCACAGGAAGAAAAAGTGAATTATTTCAGTAAAGCTGCAAGTTACCTGAATGGTTCACTCTGTAACACAATGTAGTAGGCCTAATAAGATGTGAATACTGTGAATTCAATTCAAGAGGTTTTGTTTTCCTCTGTAGAATCTTATTTACAGTCAGAAAACAAGTCCCAGGTTAAGTTCTCCGGAATCTAGTCCTCAAGAGCAGGTGAGAATAAGTCATGGTTTTGAATCTTCAGATTCAAATACATCTGGAATACAAGAGACTGAGAGAACTGAAGCACAGGAACTAGATTATACTGCTTCTGTAGAAGATCTGAAGCAGGCTTTGCAAAATGAAGTGAAACTGGCTACATGGGAGTATTGGATGAGACACTTCCAGAATATGATAGCATGGATCTCAGCTTGTCTCCAGGCTTAGAGTCTGATTTTGATATCAGTGCAAATGTAACAAGTAATTCAGAAAATAATGGGGATATTGAAAAATCAGACCTACCCCTACAGTCCCTGTCCAACTCACATAAAGCACTAAAAAGACTGCATCTGAAAGAGAAGATAATGGAGGTGAGTCTGAAAGCAGTAGATCAGTCCTGCACCAGAAGAAAGAAAGAAACATGAATTTTGCAGTCCTGTAGTAGTATTCTCCTTGGATGAAGAATTTATTAAGACACCATTGCCAAAATCTAATGAAAGAAAATACTCCCTGTCATGTTTGCTGATACCCTCTGAACAACTGGAGGAAACGGCATCAATGCCACATGAAAGCCTGCTAATGGGTTTCTGTGGCTAGGTTTGTTTGGTAGCAGTGGAAGGCTACAGGGGTGGCTTCTGTTAGAAGCTGCTAGAACCTTCCCCTGTCCGGTGGAGCCAATGACAGACGCCTCCAGGATGGACTTCCTGCCGCTGGCCAAGGCCAAGCCAATCAGGAGTGATAGTAATGCCTCTGTGATAACATATTTAAGAACAGAAGATTGTTGCACCTAAGGAGTTCCAGACAGGGAAGAGCAGAGTGAGAACATGGGAATAACAAGGTGGACACCAAGGTCAGAGCAGAAGGAGGGGCAGGAGGTGCTCCAGGCGCCAGAGCTGAGGCTGCTGTGGCCCATGGTGCAGACCATGGTGGAGCAGCTGTGCCCCTGCAGCCCATGGAGAGCCACTGGGGTGCAGAGACCCACCTGAAGCCCATGGAGAAGCCCATGCTGGAGCAGGTGGATGCATGAAGGAGGCTGTGACCCCGTGGGAGGCCCAGGATGGAGCAGGGTCCTGCCAGAGACCTGCAGTCTGTGGAGAGGGAAGCCCACGCTGGAGCAGGTTTTTCCCGGGTAGGATTTGTGGCCCCTGTGGGGGACCCACATCGGTACAGCTCATCCATGAAGCACTGCACCCCATGGAGGCGTGATCCATGGGACAGCAGTTTGGGAAGAAGTGCTGCCCGAGGGACGGACTCACGTTGGAGAGGTCCATCAAGGACTGTCTCCCGTGGGAGGGACACCATAGGAGCAGGGGAAGGACTCCTCTCCCTGAGCAGCGGCAGAAACAGCAACTTAGTGGGAACCCCCATTCCTGTCCTCCTGCACTGCTGGGGGGGAGAAGGGAGAACATGGAAGGAAGGAGGGGTGGGGGGAAGGTGTTTTTTAAGATTGTTTTATTTCTCACTCTTTTGCTCTTATCCTGTTAGTACTAATTTTAAGTGCTATCCTCACTTTGAGTCTGTTTTGCCCATGAAGGTAATCAGTAACTGACCTCTCCCAGCTTTTGTCTCAACTTATGAATCCTTAGCTGTTTTTTTTTCTCTCTCCTCTGTCTGGTTGTAGAGGGGAGAGTGAGAGAGTGGCTTTAGTGGGTATGTGGCAGGGTCAACTCGCTACAACCTACTACATAAATTGATTAGTAAGTGTCCATGTTATCAACAAGATTTTGTCCATTCTGTCACTAGTTATACGACCATGAATAGTTTAACCCTGCTATAGAAGTGGAGGGAGGTAGATTATTTGCGTGCTTATTCCTCGTGGAAGATGAGATATAAAAGCAAAGTAAACATGCTACCTTTAGATCTTTCAACATCTTGAAAGTATGAGGAGAAATGCTCATCTGACTTTATGAGGTAATCTGCAGCTATTGAAGAAAAAGCCTTAGGGTGTATTAGCAATGGAGTAATCTGAAGTTAGATTTTGAGAATTCACAAAGTTAGTTGTAAGTTGTGTATTTACTCTGAACAAATATGGCTGTTTAGAAATGTGTTGTAGGTTGTTGAAACTTTTGTGAATTCATTAAGGTGTTAGTAGTCTGAACTATGCTGCATTCCAGCCTACCTGTCTCCTTATCCTATTTCCAACAGAAGTGTCAAGTCTGTTTAACCAGTAGTGCAGTGTTTAGTTACATGTGAGGTCAATTTTTGAAATGCATTAATAAAAATGAAATAGTAATAGTGATACAAAAGACTTTCATGAAAACAGATGGTGTGCAGAAATGTGATAAGAAAGGCCCATAGAATTGAGTTTAGCAAGAGATAACAACGGCTACAAGTACCTCAGCAGCAAAAGGAAGATTAAGGGAAATGTGAGGCTGCTGCTCAATCAGATGCGTAACCTCATGGTGCAAGACAAAGAGAAGGTGGGATTACTGAATGCCTTCTTTGCCTCAGTCTTTACTGCTGAGGCCAGCCCTCAGTAAACCCAGATGCTGGAGGTAAGAGAAGGCTGGAGAAGGGAAGACTTCCCCTTGGTTGCAGAGGGCTGGGTTAGAGATTGGTGAGGCAGATTTAACACCATAAATCCACAGGCCCTGATGGGATGCACCCACAGGTGCTGAGAGAGCTGGCAGATGTTGTTGCTAAACCACTCTCCATTATCTTTGAAGAATCATGGAGAGCAGGAGAGGTGCCTGATGACTGGAGAAAAGCCAACATTACTTCCCATTCAAAAAGGGCAAAAAGGAGGACCCGGGAAACTACTGGCCAGTCAGCCTCACCTCAGTCCCCAGAAAGGTGATGGAGCAGATCATTCTGGAGGTCATCACCAAGCAAGTAGAAGAAAAGATAGTCACGGAGAGTAGTCAGGATGGATTCATGAAGGGGAAATCCTGGTTGACCAATCTGATAGCCTTCTGTGATGGCATGGCAGGACAGGTTGATAATGGGAGAGCAGTGGATGTTGTCTACTGTTAAGGAAACTTCTCGGTCTGACCATTCATGCGACTCTCTGGCAGTCACACTCCCAATGCCAGAGACTTTCACTGTTGGGATTGAAGGCCCTTCACAGCAGGTGGCTCAGTGAGCCCACGGGTGCTGCACTTGACTCCCCCCCCCACACACACACTCACACAGTCAGACCAGGTTTCCTTACAGGTTTGGCCCTGTGTTTCCCTTAGCAGCATCTCAGATGTCTCATCCCCTAAAGTCATTTATTCCCAGCATAGTAACAGAAACAGCTCAAACTGGGTACCTCCAAGGAGGACCCCCAATAAAGGAACACCTTGGACTTTTATACCCTCACAGTGTCTCTACACGTGAGTCTGCACATGAGGATTTGGCTTGTGTCCGTGTGTCCATCCACCTTGCTGTGTCACCAGTCTTCATGTCTTTTATTATCCAAAAGGTCAGCAATTTCCAGCTCCTGCTGTGTCTCTCAGTGTCTGTTCACCTGGCTGGCTGTCACCTATGCTCATGGCCTTTTTTATCCTGAAGTTCAGCAGTTCATGACCTCTTGTCACAGATTCTCATGCAGAGCTCAATCTGCATCTCTGCGGTTTGCTAGTCCAGCTACCTGGACCATATGTATTCCTCAGCACTACCTCGACTTCTGCAAGGCTTTTGACATTGTCTCCCATAACATCCTTGTAGGTAAGCTAAGGAAATGTGGATTAGATGAATGGGCAGGGAGGTGGATGAATAACTGGCTGAATGGCAAAGCTCAAAGGGTTGTGATCGGCAGAGCAGAATCCAGCTGGAGGCCTATAGCCAGTGGTGTTCCCCAGATACTGGGGAAGTTGATGCTGGGTCCAGTCTTATTCAACTTATTTATCAATGACCTTCATGAAGGGATGGAATGGACCCTCAGCAAGTTTTCAGGTGATAGAAAGCTGAGGGGAGTTTTGACCTGCCCCTGAAGGTGAGAGTAACTCAAGTTTGTAGATATATATGTAGGGTTTATTTAGAACAATTCGGTTGCAATGGAAAGCAGGTATGTAGCAGTTCTGGTTATTATCTATAGTAATAGGGCAATATGAAAGCACTTAGAAAATGTGTAAGAGAAAAGGAAAGGAAGGAAGAGAAAGAAAGGATAAGAGTAGAAAGATTCATAATTACCACTTATGGATCTACGATGAGACTTGATTGTTGAACTGTTGGTTGAAGTCACGGTCTTGATCCATGGAGGGTGGGGGAAAAAGCCCATGAAACACAAAGTCCTATGGGTTAATATACATTCAGACTAGGTGGGAACGCCTGGTACCTCTTCTGGGGTGGGGGGGTGGTTTCAGTCCTCTGGTGGAGTCCTCAGAAATGAGTCTGGGGGTGCTTTGGGGGTCTTTGATGGTTTATGGCCCCTTCTAAGACATGACAGCTGCCTCTCACATCAGTGTGGTTAAGCCAGTTATGCCCCATCAGACCTTCCCTGAGGGGAGGTGGGAGGGGGAAGTTCTACAGCTGAGCAGAGTTGGGTAAGGTATAATAATTACCGTGATAGAAGGCACCATCCAGCCTTGCAGGGTTTGCCTCTTACTGGCCTCAAAGCCCGGCTTCAGCATAGCACCTCGGCGCCTCCACAGTTGTTTTAAGTCATTAGCCATTAATAGTCCAGTCTCTCACACTTACACCTGAAGACTGTGCTGCCATTCAGTGAGACCTTGATAGGCTGGAGAGTCAGGCAGAGAGAAACCTAATGAGGTTCAACGCGGCCAAGTGTACGGTCCTTCACCTGGGGAGGAATAACCCCAAGTACCAGTGCAACTGGGGACTGACCAGTCCCAGAGCAGCTCTGCAGAGAAGGACCTGTGAGTCTTGGTGGATGACAAGTTGACTGTGAACCAGCAGTGAGCCCTTACAGCCAGGAGGGCCAATGGTATCCTGGGGTGCATTGGGAAGAGTGTGGCCAGCAGGCTGAGGGAGGTGATCCTCTTCCTCTACTCGGCCCTGGTGAGGCCACATCTGGAGTGCTGTGTCCAGTTCTGGGCTTCTCAGTACCAGAGAGACATGGAGGTACTGTAGAGGGTCCGGTGGAGGGCCACAATGATGATCAGGGGTCTGGAACATCTCTCTGATGAGGAGACACTGTGGGAGCTGGGCCTGTTTAGTCTGGAGAAGAGAAGACTGAGAGGGAATCTCATCAATACGTACAAATCTCTCAAAGGTGGATGTTAAGAAGATGGTGCCAGGCTCATTTCAGTGGTGCCCGGTGACAGGACATGGAGCAGTGGCCATAAACTAAAACACAAGAAGTTCCACAGTAACATGAGGAAGAATTTGTTTACACTGAGGGTGGCAGAGCACTGGAACAGGCTGCCCAGGGAGGCTGTGGAGTCTCCCTCTTTGGAGACATTCAAAACCCACCTGGATGTGTTCCTGTGTCACCTGCTCTAGGTGATCCTGCCTTGGCATTGATGTTGGTCTAGATGATCTCTGGAGGTCCCTTCCAACCCTAACAATCATGGGATGATGTGATTTAATGGAGTACTAGAAATTTAACAAGCTAATCTCAAGGAGTAGGGCGATTTATACTTTGTGCAAAGGCTTGCTGCAGTTTAGCTGTAACTTAAGATTTGGCTGTATTGATAGCAACTGATTGATAGCAACCAAAATTAAAGTACTGTTTCAAATATGTCTTTTTAATATATCCAGAACACTTTCAGAGCAGTATATCTGTCTAGTAATTAAATATTACAGAGTGCAAACTCATATGCTTTGTCTTTCAGATAAGAAGAGTTGAATAAGAAGCTGGGCACAAAGGAACCGTCATCAGGATACAATTTGTAAAGCAGAAGCATAACTATAGTAGCACAATTATGGTTCACTTGACCAAGTATCCTCTCCAGTCATTGCCTGGATGGGGAAGTTGCACTGCTTTCTTTATTGTGGAGACTGTATTCCAGCCTCCTTGTTTAAGAGTGTCAGTTGCCTGCTCTGGTTCTGCTAGTTTCATGTCATCCATGGTGACATTGTGTATACCCACATCTTTTTACAGAACTGTTTTTCTTTTTTAAGCATATTAAAAATAGCAGATACTAAGTGGCAAAATCCTAGAAAATGGAAAAATGAAATCTCAGATGAGAAATAGTGAATTCTGTGGTGTTTCTATTTTGCTCCTAATGCACACCCCATAGCCTCCCAGCCCTCAAAACCAACAACTTCAAATTTAACTTGATGCTCTACATTCTATTGCATTCATCTCTCTTCCTGAGAGTTCTGGTCTATATTGCCACGAATTCTGCCTGTTCTCTTCTTCTAAACTTCCACTGGAGTGTTTATTTCTTAAGGTGTATTGCTGAATAAACGCTTTACACTAACGTTACAAAAATTTATGACTTGTGGTAATGTTAATGCAATTTTATTTTAACATCATCATGGCCAGGCTTCGTGAACGAAGATTTGGGGAGGGCTCTACCCACATTTGTTACAAGCGCACTGGTGGCTAAAAAGGCCAATACAAGATAGACAAGTCCAGTTGCAAAAGGCACAGCAGAAAGACTCCTTAGGTGGAATATTCTGCAAGACGTGATTCTTTCTGTGTTACTTTAACAACTCAATATATATATATTACATTGTGATGTGAGTAACTGATAATAGAGTAATGAGGTGATGAGGTGAGAATGTAAAAGCAGAGGTTCGAGCAAGTAAACTTCTTATTGTAAAAGTACTGACTCCTACCCTGATATGTTTAGCGCTTGGAAGCGTTGTTAAATAAAGTTGTTTTTCTTTTCCAATATGTCTTTCTTCCCAAGCAGTTGCATTAGGTTTTACGAAGAATGTCCACCTGTATTTGCCATCTTCCTTATAAGGCAGAAGTTGACAAGCTTTATGAAAAGACATATAGGTGGTTGAGGAAGCTATTATGTGTATAATGTGGCTGTGTACATGTTAACAGATAAGAGGGAAGTGCTGCTTAATAGCCTATTGACATGTTGATCATGGTCAGACAGTGAATTTGCTGGTCTGCAGATCTGACAATTGGCAGGTGGGGGTCAGTCTCTTTTCCCAGGTAACAAGTGACAGGATGAGAGGAAATGGCTTCAGGTTGCACCAGGGAAGGTTTAGGTATTAGGAAAAAATTCTTCCTGGTAAGGGCTGTAAAGTATTGGGACAGGCTTCCCAGGGAAGTGGTGAGGTCACTATCCCTGAAAGAGCTCAAAAAGTGTAAGAATATGGCACTCGAGTACATGGTTTAATGGTGGACATAGTATTGGTGCGAAGTTGTTTGTTGGACTTGATGCTGTTAAAGGTCTTTTCCAACCTTAATGATTCTGTGATACTATTATGACCTTAGCTGTTGGCTGTCTGGAACAGGCCCAGCTGTGTTTTGTGCAGAACTAGGCTTTAGAGCTTGGTGCTGGTGACTTCACAAATGTTGCCCAGGTGGCTAGATGAGTTAGTAGCATAGCTACATGTAAGGATGTGGATAATACCTTGACTATGGCCTGTCTTAAGAAAAATCAAACTGTAATTTGGGTTGCTACTACATTGACAATTCAGGATTAAAAAGTGACAGCTAAGAATTTGAGTTTCCTGTGGACAACTGACCTTCACATTCCAAGTTTTATGTATGAAAGCAGAATCTTTACTCCTTGCAGCTAAGTGCAACACTCTGGTCTTTGTGTTATAAGTAGTAGCTCACCTGTTCGCTAGTTTGTGTTGGATACTTAGGTAATTTTTGGTTAGGCTTATATCAGAAGGCCATCATAATTGGATTGAAATTCTGGATTAAATTCTCTTGTAGAGCAATGATCTACTGATTAGCAAGGGAGAGTTGAGAACATCAAGGTGTTACTAGCAGCCACAAATACAACTCTGTATGTGTTTCTGTGACTTCTTTAAACCTGGGTGTTTGCTGAAGATGAATACAGTGTTCCTAATGTACTAAATGTACTAAATGTCTTAAGATACTTGTCATGAAATACCATTCAGGAGTTCTTACCCATTAAGCATTGGGAAGCTAAGTTTCTCATGAACCTCCTAATCAAAAGACTCTTCCATTTAACTTCCTAATAGTATGTAATTTGGGCTTCTGAAGTTAGGTGCACTGAATTATCATTAGCTGAAAGACACAGTGCAAGTACCTTGCTTTCCTCTCCAGAGGACAATATGCCATAATTTTGTGCAGCACTGCAGAGCAATCAGTGTTTCACAGTTCAGGTTTGCCCATCCTTGCCAGGTAAATTCCAAATGGACAGGTTTATGAACTTGTATACTCCTTGGTCTCTTTTTTTACCTTGGAAGATAATACTAATGTTTTCTTGCCAAAGCTTATAAGCATTGCTCATAAAGGTTTGATGAAGTATCTGGAATATCTTTCCAGATATTTATTATATCATGAGCAACATGATAGGCTGAGAGAGTTGGGCCTGTTCAGCCTCAAGAAGAGAAAACTGAGACGGGACCTCATCAATGTGTTCAAGCACCTGAAGAGAAGGTGTCAGGAGGGTGGAGCCAGGCTCTTTTCAGTGGTGCTGAGCAACAGAACAGTGATGACAACGGACAGAAACTGGTGCACAGGAAGTTCCACCTGAACAAATGGAAGAACTTTATTGTGTGGGTGATCATGCACTGGAGCAGATGGTCCAGAGATGATATGGAATCTCCCTCACTGGTGATGATTCACGAACCGTCTGAATGTGATTCTGTGCCATGTGCTCTAGGATGACCCTGCTTGAGCAGGGAGGTTGGACCAGATGTCCCACTGTGGTCCCTTCCAACCTGACTCATTCTGTGATTTTGTGATAGTGTTAAGTACTACGATGTTTGGTAGTACTGAATCCCATAATCTGTAGCTATGAAAAAACATAGATTGTGCTACAATTACATACAATTACAGCACATAACTTTGCGATCTGTGCTGTGTATCTGCTGTCTGTGCTGAACATACATCAGTCTATTTTTATTGAGAAGTAAACCTAAAAGGACATATTTGAAAGTCTCTAGTTCGCTGAGCATTGAAAAATGCAAGTACAGTCCAGTCAGTGGATTTCTGCACGTAATGGGAGAGAATCAGGAGGGTAAATCTAGAAAACTAGTGGGTTGAGGCCCATACTGGCCACTGTGAAGAAAATCAACTCTACCCCTGGCAAGACCAGCACATCATGAAACCTTTTTTTCTTTTTTTTTAGTGGAGACCGGGAGAAGATGGAATGAGTAGAGACTTGAAGTATGAGTGCTCAGATTGAGTTCAGCCAGAATCCTTTAGCAAGGATTTATATTAATGGCTTGATAGTTCTGGTTCAGTCTTCTGTGCTGCATCATTTGGAAAAACTGACAGAAATTACTGTATGGGTAGCTATGGCAGAACATTGCATGAGAGCTCTGTCTTAACCCCTGCAATGCTTTACATGAGCCCCCTTAAGTGGGGCACCATTTGGAGGTAGCTCTTCTGCATGAAGACCGTCCTACCTGGTAATACTTACCTACACTCCAGTGTGTGTGAAGCTGTTCACCTGTATCTGATGGATTGTGCATGGGGAATTCTGTGTTTAATTGGCAAAAAGCACAGTTGCAGAGAGTGCGTATCTTTGTCTCTATTCTGGGTATTTTATCACTTCTAAATAATATATCACATTTGATAGTGTTTTTCTGTGGCATCAGTAGTGGTTCCTGATTCATTTACATGTAGGCAATCATCCCAAGAAGTGAATTTAATCCATAATCAGTCTATCTCTTACAACTGCATACATTTTAATACTTTGCACTTAGAACTACCAGTCAGGAAAAGCTGCAGGAGAGTTTCTCATGTTTATCATAAAGTACTGCAGGAGCCAGGGACATAATAATTTCATTTGTGTTTGGACATTATTAGTTGTTTAAAGAGTTCATTTACAGAGTATGTTTTTCTTTTAAAATAGTTGAGTAATGACACAAGTAGAAGCAGTCCTTGTTCCAGGAGGCTTTCAGACTAAACAATATTGAGCCGAGAAGCCTAATTAGAGGTGAGAAAGATGAATGTTTTTAGTCAAATAGGATAGGTGGTGTGTACGATCTAGCTGCTGTAAGAGAATATGTGTATGAAGAGAAATGAAGAATAGGACACAACTAGCACCTGTTGCAAATCAAGAAAATGACAAGTAAGGTAGCCTGTGTGCTGCTAATGTCATTCTTTGGCATACAGGAGAAAATAGGATGTGTATGCAGGAACGGTGCTGCACAGATCACCAAAGACCATGAAATAAATTGTGAGAAATGTCAGATTCTCCTGTGCTTGGAACAGGTTTACTGTAGCTATCCTGTTTTCCTCTTATGCAGTGCTTATGTTGCATTCCATACTGTCCTACAGGGAGGAAGCTGTTTGCCTGTAAGGCAGTTCATAGCAATTGAAAGATCAACAATTCTTGACAGTAATTGTTATGAAAGGTGCTTGATCTGAATTTTGTCGTACATGTCATCTTGGAGAAAGGTTCTTTCAATATGGGGTTCACCAGTGTTGTTTGTATTCCTAGCAGACAAGTTTTTGATACCCAGTGGTGTTTTCTTTGAATTTTTGGGTGGTTCTTTCATTTCATGTCATTGGGGCTAAAATTTTTGCCAGTGGCTGTTTACCATTTTAAAAGTTCAGATATTTTATTTTTTTTATATTAAATGGTTGGGAGCATAGACTCTCATACAAAACTTTGTCGATCACATAAAAAGGGAATTTTCTTAGTGGGAGTGGTGTAAAAAAAAAGTCCGAACAGACTGAATATGTATTTAATTACATAATTCTGCATAGTTAGACATCTATGGAAAAAATACTGGTGATTTTAACAAGCCATTTTTAGCAAATTTTTTTCAATGCTAAATTTTTGCACCTAACACTTTGTTATGCCAATTCTAGACACTTGGGTGCATCTTTTCACTGATAAAGGTAGTGTTTATGTTACTGAGTCGTGTTATCTCCTAGTACAAGGGAAGCTTTGCATTTTACTTATGGCAATTTTTGCTTAGAAAGTGAGTTGGCTACTGGAATGTGACTTTCCAATTTTTATGTTTTAATAAAGTGGATCTGTTTACAGTGTTGTATTCTGCTCCTCTCCACCCTAATATCCTGAAGTCCCTTTCTGAAGATGTTTGAAAATGGTTTTTGCTACTGCCTGTTGTAGTTCTTAGGAGTTCTTTTTGGTGATAGAGTGGAATAAAACACTGTTGTGGTTTAAACCCTGCCAGCAACTAAGTACCACACAACTACTTGCTCATACCCCTACACACTTTGCTTGCGTGAAGAGGATTGGAAGAGGATTGGAACTGTAAAAGTGAGAAAACTCATGAGTTAAGAACAGAGTAACAATTGAAATTAAATAAAATAGTAATAGTGGATTGTACTGAAAATAACAGAGACATAAAAATAAAACGAAAGACAATTGATGCAAATGAAAGCACTTGCTCACCACTAACTGACTGATGCACTGCCTGCCCCCAAGCAGCAGCCCCTCAGCCAACCTTCCCCCAGCTCCTCATGCTGAGCATGACACGATATGGTCTGGGATACCTCTTGGGTCGGTTGGGGTCAGCTGTCCTGGCTGTGTTCCCTCCCAACTCCTTGTGAACCCCCACCCCACTCACTGGTGGGGTACTGTGAGAAGAAAAGACCTTGATGCTGTGTTAGCACTGCTGAGCAGTGATGCAAATATCCCTGAGTTATCAACACTATTTCCAGCACAAATTCAAAACACGGCCTCATTTTTTTCGCATTCATCTGGAGAAAATTAACTGTCCAAGTCTCAAGCCTCTGTCCCAGCACAGACACTTAGATGTTGAGTGGCTGCAGTGACAACTAGTTTCAGCGAGAGTTACTAAGATGATTTTGCCCCAGAACTGGTTTAAGAACTTGAAAGAATATCTGTCAGAATGGGACCCATCTTCAAAGCACAGCTGTAAATGAAGTGCATTACTATGGAAAGCACTGAAATGTCAGTACCTTGACTCAGGAGAGTGAAAATAAGATGTCAAACTGTGGAAGTCTCCTGAGATGGGGTGTCCTACACAGCACTTGAGGGATCCCTTTTCTTTTCAGTTTGTGATGTTGTTTTCACTGTGTGGAGTGTTAGTTTTCACAGAGACCAAATGTTGCAAACTCAAGAAAAAGTGAACAAGACCTGAGTCAAATTCTTTCAGTAGATCACAGTTTCTTTTATTAGTTTTAAGAAAGTCTGACTTTAAGTGTAAGCCAGCTTTATATAAACTGGGTGATAATTCTTCTAGCATATTTTAAAGATGCTTAAGTGTTCATAATTTTTGCTGTATTGAAAATACTTTGTTCATGAACTGGCAAATGCATGTCTAAAAAGCGCTCTAGCCAAGGGTAAAGGTCAAAGTTGGATTCAATTCAAGTAAAATGGTTCTCAACCCTAACAGAAAACTTTGTTTATTCAAAAAGAAGACCAAATTGATTCTACAAATAAATACATAATGCAAAGTCTGTGCTGAAGAACCTAAATCCTTTCATTTTGGTTCTGTCAATCCTGATAGTGACATGCAATTTCCTACCTCTTACTTTCACACTACCTATTACCAGTTCAATCCACCATTATTATGCATGAGTAGTGTAACATAATTAAATCCCTATTATGGACATTACAGTTTTCTAGCATTGCAAGAACAGAGGTCCTTTGCTTTTTCAAGAAATTTTTTTAACCCTTCCTTTCTGTTCCCTTTCCTTTTCATGCACTATTCATAGAAAATGTGATTATTTTTTTTTTATTAAATGCTTTTCGTTGGGAAAATGTAGCATTTGGATTGATCTCACCTCCAAAGTGCAGGAAGATCATGGCATTACTGCATGATGTCGTTACAATACCGTGTAAGTTGATGTAACTCCACTATGTGATATATCTCCAATGACTGTATGCCATTGACTCCAATATTGAGTCTATATAAACATTTAAATGGTTGTAGAGGGTGAGTGGGGAATCAAAAGCAAAGTTTAGAAGTATTCTCTAGATTTCTGTGGTATTCTTAAACGCAGCAATGTTTAATGTATACTTCATATTGTCTGCTCTCTCATATGGATCCGATTCATGGGTCATCTACCGCCACCACCTGCGACTCCTAGAACGCTTCCATCAATGCTGCCTCCGTACAATCCTAAACATCCACTGGTCAGATTATGTGACCAACACATCTGTTCTAGAACGAGCAGCAGTCACAAGTATTGAGGTTATGTTACTGAGAACACAGCTGTGCTGGGCAGAACACGTCTCAAGGATGAAGGACCACCACCTCCCTAAGATCTTACTTTATGGTGAACTTGCCACCGGCTGCTGCAAGAGAGGAGCCCCGAAGAGAAGATACAAGGACTCCCTGAAACAACATCTCAGCCTTGGCCGTATTGATCATCATAACTGGTCTACTCTGGCCTCCAATCGGAAGGTCTGGAGACACACCATCTATAATGCTGCTGATGCTGCACACAGGATCACTCTCGAGGAGAAAAGACAATGCAGAAAGATTTGTGTCTTGCAGAAGACTCCACCTAAGGAGTCTTTCTGCTGTGCCTTTTGCAACCGGACGTGCCTGTCTTGTATCGGCCTTTTTAGCCACCAGCACACTTGTAACAAACGTGGGTAGAGCCCTCCTCAAATCTTGTCTTTAGTACAGCATAATTTATTTGGAAAAGGCATAAAACCAGCAAAATCACATGCTTAACTTCTGTTTTTGTATCAATACAAAAAAAAAAGGAGAGTGAAAGGAATCAATATGTAGAATAAAGAAGTCACCATGGAAGATGGATTCTATCTGTACTTTTGTCAGGTTGTGATGTGGCAAGGGTTGTTTTGGATTACTTGTTACCCACATCTGTAGATGTGTAGACCTATCTTGTCACTAGGCACTTTTGCCAGTCATAAGTACCCTCTCCTGGTCTTCACAACCTTTTAATGATTAAGGGAATTGCCTCAAAATGACGTGGACAAAATGCCTTGGTGCTTGTGGGTGCTCCGTGGACCTGAGCATGCCATTTATTTAAGCGTTTCCTAGCCTGTTCCTCCTCCACCAAGGTAATGTTCCTTGACCTAGATTTTCCAACTGACCTCAGGGACCTGGGATTGCTGAAAGCTGGTCATACCAGTAAAGACCAGGGCTGAGACTGAGATTCAGAGGTCACACCCTCCCTCTCCAATGTAATTTAAGTGCTTGGGAAGAATGAACAGCCAGTTCTTGCAAATCAAAGCTGTCGATCTTGAAGAAAGATGCAAACCATTGGTGTGAGCCGAGAATAATTTCCTGGGGCTTGACAGCTGTGTTGGTTTTCATTTTAGGCAGATTTTCTGCAATAGGAGGAACAATCTCTGTAAGGTCAGGTGAGTAATCCTTACACAGCATTTGTCTCTGAGGCCTATCCCTGCTGCTTAGCAGGTTTAGATTTGGAAGTCAGTAATAATCAACAGTTATTATTTCTTGCAACCATTGTTCCGTCAGTGGGGAGTGCTAATGGAACTGACTAAAAATCCTGATTTTATTAAAGTCCTAGAGTTTAATGATCTGGTGGTATTTTCTCACAGTATTGCATAAGTAAGAGGGTTAAATTAATATATATATATATTTACACGTCATTTCAAAATAGAAATTTTGAAAAAATTTACTGAATAGAAAAATAGAAACATACTAAATTGTAATGCAAGTGGATTGAGAAGGAAGTTTTTGTAGTCTCAGATGTTCTGACGTAGCATAAACATGGCACTATAGAAGCATAAAATGCCAAAGCGTGGAATAGAATATTAAAACCTTAAACTATTAAAAAGTGAAAATTTGAGGATAGACGAACACTTTAAAAGCACACCTGCTTTTAAAGTCAAAGAAAAATAGTCTCATTAAGTTGTCAGAAAATCAACTTATTTTCAAGGATTATTTCCATCAGTACCTTCTGATAAGCAGCTGTCAAAAATTACTGTTTCTTTTAGTGTTATGATGGTACAGATAGTTGCTCTTGGCAGAGTTTTGAAGATAGGTACTGGTATAGATGTTGTGGTTTCTGAAGTCAGATGTGATCAATCAATTTTTTTTGCTTTTCAGGCAGTGGTGAAGCTTATATTTGAGTGCACCAGAAGGTCTGTATTTCCTATTCTCTAAGGAAAGGAGTGGCTGTACTGCATATGAATACTGTATTATTTTTTTCAGCCTTGTAAAGCATTCTGGAAATTATGCCTCTGACATTTTTGTTGCTTGGTCTGTCAGAGGAATTTTCAGACCTGTATGTTTTATCCCTAGTAATGTTCAATGCTCTGTTGACTTATGGCAGCACTGCCTTCTGAGTAATCTTACTGCGAGCATGTTCATGTAAATGTTTGAAATGGTGGCACTCTAAATAATAGTTTTTCATTTTAGTCAACTTCAGTTCATCAAAAGCTAGTTATGGTTGGATTAAATGGTTTAAGGGACTGCAAATTGCCATCATCTTTCTGCTGGATATTCCAGGCATCAAAACTAAAACCGCAGTGCATTTAAGATAATTTTCTCCTCTGTATTCCTTATCCTTACCTTGGATAAGTTGGCTGAAGAATTTCCTGCTCGTCATTGCAAATACTTGAAGTGGTAACTTGGGCATGTGAATCCTATATCTCCCCTTATAATTATCATGTGCTGGTTTCTCATGTCCCAGGATATATCACTTTATGAGGAACATTTCCCAGCTGCATATGCTTTGGGCAAAGAGTAGGCAAGTGTGAAGAGTAGCTGGTAGGAGAAATGAGTGGAGTGGCATCTGTTTATAACATAACTTGGGTTTGCCTATTCAGTAGCAAATTCTGCCTTTCCTGACTTTACTGTTGTTTTTGTCTCTCCTATTTACAGTGCATACACATAGATGGCTTCTGAAGTGTATTTTATTGTTGTTGGATTGGTGTATTTTTCCAAGTAAAATAATAATTACTACTTAATGCTGAAGACATTTTATCCTTCTGACAGTCACTGTCCAGATTATTGCACATATGGTGAAGGGTCACTTCAAGAGGATTTATGAAGAGGATCCTTAATCCCTGTGAGATCACTAACCTGCTTGTTTCTCTCTTAAGTAATTACTGCACCAGTAATATCACATTGCCTTCCTGTGGAATAAAATTCAAAGATAAGGGGAACAATTGTATTTGTGATTGTTTAATGTCCTAACTTTTCACCAGAAGATGGCAGCAGGCTGATGTTAGTCACAAATATTTCAACTGCTTACTGTTGGATAAACGTGGAGGTAGTGGGCTAAACACTTGGAACTGAATTTACCATAGTTTGCGGCGAGAAACCTGGCATTGCAAAGCATTGCATGTCAAGCTGTTTTGTGGGTTTGTATGTCTGGCTGGCTGCTGGCCTGCAAGTCCCCTGCAAGTCCTGGACGTTGTCCTTCAGTGATGTCCTTTCACCCGACATTTTTTCAAGGGCATTTGTTTTGGAAGAAAAATCAAAGCAGGTAGAGCTGTTGCTTAAAGAAGTTTGAATTATTACATATTGCATTTCAGTTCAAGAAAATGTTTTATTCTGTTCCTAGAATTAATTTTCTTGGCAATAAACATCAGTTAAACATGAATGCATGTTTTCTGTGACAGACAGCAAAAGTGAATAATGGACTGGAATTGATACTGGATGGTGCAGAAAGAATTCAAGTTTTCAATGAAAAGCCTATGTAAATATTGACAAAAAATGTGGAATTCAGCAGCTTTTGCAGATGTTTTGTGTTATCTTTAGTGGAAAATGAGCTGTGTTAGCCAGAGAAACAAAGATGTTTTTTACCCTCCAGCCAAAAATTAATCTTCACCATAGTATATGTTTAGCATGGTAAGAAGCCAAAATGCAGAGTTAGATACAATTATGAATTTTCTATTTTCAATGCATTCAGATATTGCAGAATAACTTCACCACTGGTAAAACCCTTCTTTTAAAGAATGTAAGGAGAGGAAAATACAGGTCTTTTTCTTTGATTAGAAGTAAAACACCAAATCCAGCCAGTGTGATCCATTGCACCATGGGTTGATAAAACTTAATGCCAAACTTTCATATTTCCCTGTGTACCTGAAGCTGAGTTCCCTTAATAAGTTTAATATGGACAGACGCATAAGAGGAGGTAATGCAGCCTAAGATCACTTGGTCTTGCCCAGACCCATATGTCAGCTAATAAGTTACAGATTGAGTCCAAGATGCCACAGTCTAAATATTCATGCTGTTGTCATTTATTCCTACATGTTGATTCCTAATCCACAATCAAAGCAGTTATATGCCTGCAGCTGTTTTTAATGACCTCTTTACAGCAAAACATGCTAATGCTGTGGAAAAACCCAAGCAAAAGTGAAAGATCCAATTCTTTGAAACTGTGGCTCTCAAATAAGTCTTCACCTGTGGAAAATCTGGCATTTGAAAATGGAACAATTAAAATTCCCATTAGTAGCGCATGCCAGCAATTTCAAAAGTTTGACAGATGCACATAGAAATAAGAAAGAACATAAAACTGTATGACCATTTTAACACAAAGGGCGGGGATCTTCGCTTCACCTGTGTAGGTACAATTCAGCTGACTCGCAAGTTATATGTAAAAAACACTGGTAATTTCTGGTAAAGGCAGCTGTAGTGGGAGAATTGGATAGGTTGGCTGCCAGTCCAGTCAGCTGCTTCCCCAGTCCTCATTCTACTGTCCACCCACCCAAGAGGTATGGGAAGAGAGGTAGACATTGAAGACTGAGGCAAAAAAGTTGTTGAGTATCTCAGCTTTCTCTTCATCCACTGTTATCAGTTTACCAACATTGTTTATCAGTGGTGATACACCTTTTTTGACCTTTCTTTTCTGATTAACATACCTGTAGAAGCCCTTCTTGTGATTCTTTTCTTCCTTTGCCAGGTTTAGTTCCAGCTTCGCTTTGGCCTTCCTCACCCCATCCCTACACAATCAAACTTCATCTCTATACTCTTCCCAGGTTATCTGACCTCATTTCCACTGTCTGTCCATTTGCTTATTTCCCTTTATTTTGACCAGCAGTTCCCTACTCAGCCATGCTGTCTCTTGCCTTCCTTGCCTGAATTCTTGCTCCTGGGAATTGCTAGCTGTTGCACTCTATGGAAGACTTCCTTAAAGATCTGCTGGCTCTGTTCCACTCTCTTGTCCCTGAGGGCAGTCTCACAAGGGAGAGACAAGATATTGACTATCTTCTAGAGGAGCTGAAAGTTCTTGCAGATGTCATCATTGGCCACACCTACCCATTGGGCTCTATAAAGAGTAAGAAGCCCTGCATTTCATTGAAGTATGTGGAGTGATACTCCCTTTATCCCTTCACTGTTCCCAAAGGCTCATTTAAGCCAAAAGAAGTGTACCAGAAGGCACAGATGGCATCTTAACTGCCAAGTATGAAAAATAGAGTAAGGACTTAGATAATGTATGTGTGAGAGTTGCGTAATGGAGAAAAAAAAAAATTATTGGTCTTCACAAGGGGAGCCTGACAAGAACAACAATGCAGTGGTACAGTGATGAGGGCTGTGTGAAGATGGCATGAAGGTCTGTCTGAAGCCACTTATTATAGTGGAGGCAAGCAGCATTTTCTTGCACTTCTAGAGTTTGAGACGTGATATAATCAGAGAATACATGGCCATAGAAGGACAACCAAGGTCTTGGCTTTTACTTACTTTCTGGATTGGAGAGGGTTCTGGGAAACCAGAAGAAATGTTGTCTTGGAGATATTGATGTTACTGGAGGAGTATTCTTTTGTTCTGCACTTGGTGTGGTACTTTGTACACAGTAACATGAGTGCCTGATTTCCAAGGAGGCCTGAATATGGTGATCTTGATGATTGGAAAGGAAGTGTGGATATTTCCTCAGGACAGTTGCTGTAGATTGCTGGGCTGTTTCTTTTGTTCAGTTTTGTTGTTTCTTAGTCTTGATGTTTGAAAGTCCTCATATTTACAGTGTGCCCCTTTCCCTGATGAAATTTACTTCCTTGCTGCTGGCAGTGACGTTGCAAGCACTTGTCCACAGTAGGAGCTAATAAAAAACAGGAATCTGATCCTTTAATATGAATCTGACAGCTTCCCTTTCCCAAAACAGTTGCTGCCTGATCTTGTTGTTTACTTCCTATTTTCTTCCTCAGTCTTGAGCAATATCACTTTTGCCTTTGCTGAACTGAATTAGAGATGCCAGGGGCTATTAAAAAAGCCTTAACAGCTAACACCACCCATTTGTCCTCATAGAATAATTTAGGTTGGAAAAGGCCTAAGATTATTAGGTCCAACCATTAACCTAACAAGCCCACCACTACACTAAGTCCCTCAATGCCACATCTACATGTCTTTTAAATATCTCCAGAATGGTAACCATGTCCTTGGGCAGCCTATTCCAATCTTTGATGACCCTTTCTTTGAAGAGATTTTTCCTAATAACCAACCTAAACCTCCCCCGGTGCAACTTGAGGCCATTTCCTCTCATTCTGTTGCTTGTGACTGGGAGATGAGATCAACCCCCCACCTGGCTACATCCTCCTTTCAGGCAGTTGTAGATAGCAATAAGGTCTTTCCAGAGCCCCCATCATGTGCCTCCAGGCTAAACAACCCCAGCTCTCTCAGCCATTTTCATAGGACTTATGCTTCAGACTCTTCACCAGCTCTGTTTTCCTTCTCTGGACATGCTCCAGCACTTCAACGTCTTTCCTGTCATGAGAGGCCAAAACTGAACACAGGATTCAAGGTGCAACCTCACCAGTGCTGAGTAGATGTATTCATGCTTAATTAGACACTGTTACCTGTGGTCTGTGTTTGGCCGAGCCACCTGTGAGAGTCTGTTCTTTTCCTGCCAAGTCATGAGAAAACAAGCACTGATAAAGGGGAACTTCGTCCTTGAAGGAAGCATCTTGAGTAAACTGAAATTAATTGGAGCCTGGCTATTGGCTGATGGCTCTTCAATGACAATTGAAGGAGAAAGTGAAGAGGAGGGTGTTGAAGTAAGCCCCTAGACTCATTAGGAAAGACCCTCGATGTGCAGCATGCAGGCACGGGAGGGGTATCACTTACATAATGGAGGGAGGGACTGAAGGCCCCTAACTAGGCGGTGCTGGCCACAATTGCCCAGGTAGACATCACAGACTAACTGTATAAAAAGCAGACAGGTTTTTTTCTCAGGAGAGGCAGCATGCTTGACATTGGAGACCACGTTTTCCTCATAGGGATGCCTGCCAACGTGTTGAGCCTACTGACACCCTGAGAATGCAGAAGCTCATTATATTGAGAATCTTGAACATTCTGGGGTTATTCACAACCTTGTGAATAACACCTGAGTGAGTCGGGGGTTGTCTTGGACTTGTTTCCTTTTCCTGTTTCTCGGTTTCTCGTTTTGTTTGCTATTTCTTTGTAATAAATGCTGTTTTGTTTCACCCCGGTAGTCTCCCTGTTACAGTAGAGGGGGTGATCCCTTCCCTAGTCCTGCTGTCCACACTATTTCTGCTGCAAGCCAGGATGCGATTGGCCTTCTTGGCCACGTGGGCACACTGCTGGGTCATGTTCAGCTACTGTCAACCAGCATCCCCAGGTTCTTTTCCTCTGGGCAGCTTTCCAGCCACTCTTCCCCCAGCCTGTAGCACTGCCTGGGGTGTTGTGACCTGTCGGGTCCCTAGAGGGCAGTCCTGGACTGCCTACTCTGAAGTAGCCAATGTTCAGGATACCGTGGGCAAAATTAAGGTGAAACAATGCCAAACGATCAATTAAAAAGCTTTATTTCTTGCAGGAATGATTTAAACCTTATGATAGATTGAATGGCCTGTAGCAGGAATGATTTAAACACTTGTAAACAGGTCGGGGGTTAAGCTTTTTTGAAAACATGCAGCAACAGAGATCTTTTAACAACCTGTAGCAGCAGCAATTTAAACTTTTGGGGAGAGAAAGAAAAAGATAGGGAAATAGAGGTAGAGAAGAAAGATCTGGGTTACCACCCAGGGTTCAGCACTGTCACTAGTCTGGTTCCTCTGGATGGCAGGTAAACAGAGGGTGGGTTCACAATCCCACTATTTACAGACTAGTTTTTGCACATACACATTTTGTTATTCTCAAGCTTTTCAGAAGGATATTGGAGGGGCTCGTGGTTTCAACCCCCCTCCCCCCACAATTGTAATGCTGCATCAAACTTGTTTTTAGAGATAATTACCCAAGATAAGGAAGTTGGTCCCAGAAAAGGGCTATACTGCCTCCCAAGATGCTCTTTTCTAACCAACCGCACCTTATCTAGCACCTTACCCAGTCAGCGTGGTAACATTCCTTTTCTCTTCTACTGGATGTCTGAGACATTAACTCTGTCAGGTTTACATTAAGGCTTTCAGGTTTTCAGTCTCTCTCATGACCAAAGGGCAGGAACTGGCATTTTGCCTTGTTGAACCTCATACCATGGGCCTGGGCCCATGGATCCAGCCTATCCAGATAACTTTTAGAATCTTCCTGCCCTCCAGCAGACCAACTTAGTGTCATCTGCAAATGGACCGAGGGTGCACTCGATTCCCTTGTCCAGGTCATCAGTAAAGACGTTAAACAGAACTGGTTCCAGTACTGAGCTCTGGGGAACACCCACTGGTGATGGGCCACCAGCTGGATGTAACTCCATTCACCACAATGCTGTGGGGTTGGCCATCCAGCCAGTTTTTTACCCAGCAAAGAACGCACCTGTCCAGGCCAGGGAGCAGTCAGTTATGCCAGGAGAATGCTGTGAAAGATGGTGTCAAAGGCTTTACTGAAGTCCGAGTAGACAGCATACAGAGCCTTTCTCTCATCCACTAACCAGGTCACCTTGTCATAGAAGGAGATCAGGTAGGTCAAGCAGGACCTGGGACCTGCCTTTCACAAACCCATGCTTGCTGGACTTGATCCTCTGGTTGTCTGCATTTGTGACATGCTGACACTCGAGAAGGTCTGCTCCATGACCTTCTCTGACACCAAGGTCAGGCTAACAGGCCTAGTTCCCCAGGTCCTCCTTCTAGCCTTTCTTGTAGATGGGCATCACATTTGCTAACATCCAGTTCTACTGGGACTTCCTTAGTTAGCCAGGACCACTGGTAAATAATGCAGAGTAGCTTGGTGAGGTCTTCTACCAGCTCCTGCAGTACCCATCCTGACATGGAACTCTGCCAACTTCTTTCCCTACCTATGCCTTTTTACTGTTGATTTAATCACAAATGTGATTGATGAAGTTTGAAATGTCCAATTTACTCACATTTGGGATGTCTCTGGTTCTGTGGAAGTTTTCAGAAACAATAGAAAAGATCAGCAGGTTTTAAAGAGCAGCCTGCACTTCTATAAATGCCTTCTATCTCCAGAATGAACCAAAGCAGCTAGACAGCTTTGTGTCTGCCTATGACTAAACTGTGGGCTCATTGGTGTCCTCTTAAGGCAGGCAAGGAGGGGCAGTCACCATGTGGGGTTTGTCAAGGAGTCCTTAGAAACTTCCTGTTCAATTAGCAAAACTATTCTTGCTCAGACAAGGCTAATGATTTCCACAGTTAACTATTACCACTGGATTTTGTACAACTTCTGAAAAAAATCTCGGACTAGTAAGAAACTAGAAAGAAACTAAGACAGAAACTACTTATATTTACTTCTTCAGAGCATGTACTCTACCAAAACTTACCTCCCTTTGTAAGAGTTAAAAACACAGAGAATTAACAGTTAGTCATTGGATTGCAAGTTTTTCTGTCCTCTGGGCAACACTGCTAAGAAAACATACCCAATGTGAAAGTGCCAAGGTGTAGTGGAAAAATGCCACCACCTGTTAGAGGGCTACTAAAAACTCTGTTTCTGTGTGGCTAAACATAGAGAAAATTAATTGACAGAGTGTATGAAAATAACTACAGAGACTGTGAGGCAAGGAAACACTGATTGATCACCAGCCTTCTCTAGTAACATTTCACTGAGTGTTGTGACTGCAAGACCCCTTGATAAGGTCTGGGAGTTGCAGGCAGCACCACTTGTCATGGTGTGTTGGATATAGGTTACCATCGGTTTATCAGCAGATCAATCTCTCATCTGTAATCTCTGCAGCAGGTTCTATTGTATTGCAGTAGTCAGAGTGGAAAAAGGTATTCCCACTGTCAGAAAACACTTGATCACACTGTTGAAGAATTGTCTGCCTGTAATCTGTTACTTGCTTCTGGAACAGTCTTGACTGTTTCAAACATAGGATTGTGCAGTAGTGGCTTGGGAAAGACCTTTTCCATTACTGAAGTTTCCCTGCTACTGAGGATGCTGAATGTCAGTTCTACTCCTGCTTGTCTTTTCTTGACTCCTCTTAAAAAACACAATGGCTTCAAATTGCTGACAGAAGTATGCCAAGGGGCTGTAACCTGTGATACTTACATAAGCACCTCTTGATATTCTTGGTTATTTTTTTGCTTCTGCATTTCTGTTTTTACCCCTATACCTCATACATTGTCATGTGAATTCTCTTCCCTTTTGCTGTACACAGACTTTGAGAACCTTGTTTATTTGCTAAAATGCATCAGTAATACAGTATATTCAGAGGCTCAGACTTTTGCCCACTCAGATGCATCATTACTCCAGATGCAAAGTGCAATACTAATATTAGAATAGATCCTGTACTGTTTCTCCTGACTGGCTGCCAGCGGTCTAAACAGATTCTGCACACAGGTGGAGAAGTACTCTGATGTAAGAGACTGAATTTGCTGGTGCCAGGCAGCAGACTCTCTGCCCTGTACCGAATGATGTGGGCAGTGAAATAGGTTCAAGTTATTAAAGTTGGATGATAATGCTGTTTTCTTCTCCATCTGTTTCTGCAATGTTTTGTTAGTATTAAGTAACACTACCCCAGTATTTTTAAATAGCTCTTTCAAAGCAGTGCTTGAGAAAAAGCTGACTGTCTGACCATGCTGATGTTGCTTTGCTCAACTGGTGTTTTGCTGTAAAAATGTTTTGATGTTATCTCCCCATCCTGGCCCGAACTGGTGTACAGTGTGTTGTCTGGGAGGCTACTGTTGCCTTCCTTCTGTGTTTCCTGTACACACTAGATAGCCTGCTATAATTATTGGCCTTTAAAAGGAGTTATGTCTTGTGGCATAACTCCATGGTAGAACAGAGATAGTGTTATGTAGAGCCATCACCTTCACTAAGTGGAAAGAAGGGGGAATCTGACCTGCCTGGGGTTTTTGAGAACTGCCTCAGCTCCTTTTGCAGAGTGTGTGTTTCCAAATGCAAAAGGTTCACGTGTTTCACTAACTGCTTGTATCATATCCAGACTTTCTTATGTTGTGGAGAGAAGGGGAAGTATTAATTTCTTTGTGTGTCCAGGAAAAGGAACATTTTTTTTTCCATAGCACAAAAGAAATAACTACATTATTCTTCACAAGAGAGGTTACATAGCTCATGAAGTGTTGCCACAGAAACCTAAACCATCTGAAAACTTGTCAAGAGACACGAGAGTATGGATTTGACCTCCACTTACAAACATGACTCCTATGTCCTGAGTAGCTCCATGCCTCTCCTGTGTGATAAGACACATCTTCAGTGCCAAGATGCATATAAGAACTACTTAGAAAGGTATGTCTCCTTGCAGCTTCTTTCAGAACTTCACGGTTAACTTCATTTTTGAAGAAGACAGATTAAAAGAAAGCATTAAGTTTTTATTCCTTCTCTATATGTATGCCAACAAGCTGTGAGGGAACCATACAGACATTGATGGTCATACAGCAGCATTGGGAGCTCTCTGAATTCACTTCCTTTGCATATCTGACAGGCCTACAGGCATCCTATGTAGAGAAGGGCCATGGGAATTCCTGCAACTATATCCAGCAATATCACCTTTAGGATAGTCTGAACGTAATCCAGGGTTGATCCACACATGCAGAGGATCAGACACATCTAAAATATGTAAAATTTGCTAGGTCTGAGCAGTTCATAAAGCATGGGACCCTTTCTGTGTATGCTGCAGTTTTTCCAGGAATGTACAAGAGATGTACTGTGCTGGTTTAAAAGGTAAACCGGCAGGGGAAATGAACCCAACTCAAAAGAGAGATTATAAATCAGAATAACAATTTAATAAAATAATACAATAAGTACGATTATACAGACCAACAATTGGTTTTAACCCACAAAACCCAAATGTATAACCCAGCACCCTGGGGCATGAACAGAGTGGTGTTCTTTGGGCCCCCTGAGTCCAAAGTAAAAGGAGAGGGGAAAACCTGTTGGTGAGAGTGCTGTTGCAGTCCGGTCAAGAGTGGTGGTTGCAGTCTGGTTGAAAAGTGGTGGTTGCAGTCTGGTTGAGAGCGGTGATCTGCAGCCTTCCTCTGGATCCCACGAGTGGTTAAAAAAGTCCCAAGACCCCAAGATTATATATCCTCCAGTTCAGGCAGGAATGCCCAGTACCTCCCTCGGGGCGGGGAGTTCCACAATGGGTGTGAGGACAGGAGCATCCTCTTATCTCACAGGCCTCTTAACACCCAGTTTATAGCCTGAGGAGTCAGGCTGCTCTGGGCAGAGGGTGTAAATGGTCTATTGATAACAGTTTCTGGGAAATGGCATGGAAGGCTATAGAACACAGAGTTTTGGGTTACACCCATACAGTGATGAACTGGTCCCAGCTGTTCTAATTTGGACATGTGCTCAGGAAATATGGACACATAATGCACTCAAGCTCTACTGCTGGTAAAACAGGCAAAGTGTGCATCAACCTATGCCCTTGTTTCTCAGTAGCAGTACCTTGGTGTAGGAGGCTTGTCTTTGTGGGAGCTTATTTCCTTCTCCACCAGCAGAAATTCTCTTCTCTGCATGCACTGGGAGAAAACTTTCAGTCACACAGTTACAACAACCATGCTAGTTTAGGTAGTAAGTCATAAGTAGAAAGTTTAGAGGATTTTCCCTCCCCTGTGCGCACCTTTCAGCTAGCTAACGTGGGTAGGCAGATAGTTAGAATTTGTGTATTTCTTAAACTATTTTTACTTATTTTATTTTATTTTTATAATGCTGTGCAAATGTAATAGCTTATGAATGGTGCTGACATTGAGATTTGTCCCAATGTACAGAGGCAATTTATTTTTTAAAATTCAAAATGATATAGGGAGTTAGGAAGTCGGGAAAGTTATGTGAATGCAGCATTAAAATTACCTGGCTGAAATGAGTGAAAGTCAGACTTTAGTGCAGCTGCATGTTTGCAACACCATAAACTGCAATTTTTACACTAAGCACACAGGAAATGCTCCTTATTTAGAATTACTTGATTTGTGAAGTCTATGACCCACAAGTGCAAAATACCCACATTTACACAATTTTGAACACCTAGTTCTGCATAGGCAATGTCAACAGATGGTATTCATTGGAATAGCTTCAGTGAAACCAAGGCTGCTTAGTGCAAGTGAAGGATCTTTCTTTCTGTGTTTTGATATACTTAACTTCTTTGTATCTGAAACAGATATATAACTTCGTCTTTTATAGGTGTTTAGGTCAGCACCTTAGCTGTAGCTCCAGAGCTCTAATGAAATGTATCACAGACACATTGGTTATAATTTGCAGTATTTTTCAAAACACTGCAAATGGAAATCTTTGCCCAAACCCCCTCAAAAATCAAGCTGCATACTGAATGAATTTTCTTTTAAAGGCCCAGGTTCAACAAAACACACAGGCTTTCACTGTGCTATTCTCTAAGCGTTGCTAGGTTTTACTGATCCCTACTGTTGTGGTTTAAACTCAGCCATCAACCAAGCCCCATGCAGCCACTCACTCACTGCCCCACCAGTGGGATCACGGGGAGAACTAGAAGGGTAAAAGCTGGAAAACTCGTGGGTTGAGATAAGGACAATTTGATAGGTAAAGCTAAAGCTATGCACACAAGCAAAACAAAACAAGGAATTCGTTCACTGCTTCCTATGGGCAGGCAGACGTTCAGCCATTGCCCAGAAAGCAGAGCTCCATGACATGCAACTGTTACTTGGGAAGGCAAACACAATCAGTCCCGATATCCCCCACTTCCTCCTTCTTCCTCTCATTTTACATACTGAGTATGATATTATATGGTCTGGAGTATCCCTTTGGTCAGTTTGGGTCACCTGTCCCAGCTGTGTCTCCTCCCAGCCTTCCATGTACCCCCAACTTCTTCGCCAGTGTGGCAGTGTGAAAAGCAGAAAAGGCCTAAAAAATACATCTTTGTATTACCAGTTTTGTGTTCAGCACAAATCTAAAACACTGCCCCATACAAGACACTGTGAAGAAAATTAACTCTACCCCAGCTGAAACCAGCACACCTACTCAAGTGTGAAACTTTGAAACATTCTATTCAATTAATTATTGTAACTGAAATATCTGAACAGCACATATATAGTATTGCTGCATTGGTATTAAATTACCTTTCCTACTGTATAGTCATGTTCCTTCCGACTAAACACACCATATCCCAAATGACACTGTAGGTTTAAGATGATGCTATTGCATATCAGAGTTCATGTCAGATGATTTTGCAACTTAAGGTTTCAAAATTCTCATCTCCTCCAGGCTACACACATAGCTGTCTCTGTCTGTCTGCAGATACGTAATCTAATTTTAATTTAGTCTTGCTTGGGTATAGGTCTTGCCTAACCCTCCAACAACATATGGTTCATATCCTCCATTCCCTCCTGTACCCCCTAATGTTTTCAAGATTGTGCTACATGGGAGACTATTAATATCTGTGAGATAAGAATTAGAGTTACGATAAAACTGTAACATATTTTGAAGGAATAGTAGCACTGCTGGCTTACACAAAGTAAAATAAATTCATAATGCCTAAGACAGATGGACTTGCTTATCATATTCTGAATATTTTGCAAGAGCTGAGGTTATATCTAAAATGCGTAGACTGTTTTCCAGCAAAGATGGAACCTAAAAAGCTTTTTGGTAACTCTTGGTTGGCATCTGAAATGTGAGATCTCTGAACAAGCCTTTGCTTAGAGATGGGCTGAACCTCATAGGTTTTTCACTTTTTAATACTTTATTAATGCTTCTGCTGCAATAACACATCTGTATATACTCATGGTTCATCCTGTTGGACCATTACTCCAGCAAAATGATGTGCCTGGACATGGGCACAAGGTCAGCATCTCACCGCTGCAGTGGCGTCTGGACATCTCCTTTTGTCCTAGAGAAACAAGAGCGTCTGGGGCAAACTCTGTTTGAAATAGACAGTTCAAATATGCTGATACCTAATTGCATCATTTACTCTATAATACTCGAAATCTAGACTTCCTTCCTGTGCAAAGTTAACTGGAAGCTTATTTGCCTCATGACCCTTAGTGTGGTTTGGAAGGAGGGAAAAAAATCCCAAACAACACAACCAACAAAAAACACCTTGGGTTAGCTCCAAGACTATTTAATTTCAACTTCCTACCAGTAACCATAATGCTCTCTAGGGGAAGTTGCTAGGAAGGGTAAAAAGTTGCTAGGAAGGGTAAAAAACCACAGTCTTGTGGCTGCAGCACTGGTCAGACAGGCAGCTTTGTGACAGATTCCTAGTGTGACTGAGAGCAAATCTTTTTAAATTACAGGGCCCTCCTGTATTCACCAGAAAACCTGATGTATATCTTCCTCCTCTGGAAATAATGGACCTCTACACCACTACTCAGGTATATTACAAGCACCCAAATGGTAAGCCAGCCAAGATGTGTCAACCTTTGGCCCACGTTAAAAAAATTACTGAGCCATTCATTAGCTCTTCTGTAATGAAAGAAGAATATAAGCCTTGGCTGTGCAAGAAATTAAAACCTATCACTCACGCTCTGGAGCTGACTTTCCTAGCAAAAAAAAATATATTTCTTGACTACTTTTCAGACCCATCATGCACCTCATTCGCTCACAGTGATGCATGGCCTATTACAAAGACCCACCCGGTTACATCTTTGAGGGAACCGATGCTGATGGTCACAGTCTCTATATCACTACTCCCAAGAGTGAGTGCCTGTAAAGGAAACAAGTAAAAAGAGAGCGGACGCAGCCTTCTTGGAAACGGGTTCAAAGAGCAGGGCCTCAGTGAGCTACAAATGACAGTTTGATTTTTTTTTGTAACCTTCTTTCAAACCAATCACCGGGTTTGCATTTAGAGAGCTCTTAAAATAAACTTAATTCCCTGTCAGTGACTTTTTCTGGATCATTTGCATAAATGAAGAATACAAAATCGAGGGAAAAGACACATTGATCCTTGTTTCTCTGTATTTTTTTTTTTTTATTTTCCCCACCTAACATTTGGTCATTGATTGAAGGAGGTGTCCTGAGACACTAGCAGAGAGACTTCTTGGTAATATACATCATTATTGGTGTAATGGGGGTTCAGCCGCATCCATAAAAACAGAGGTAGAACAGGTAAATTATATGCTCTGAAGTCACACTTAAAAGTCATTGCTGGATAAGTGTATCAGGGCTTAATTAAACACTGATACTTTTGGTCTGTGTTTGGCCCAGCCACCTGTGAGTTTATCTTTTTCCTGCCAAGTTATGAGAAAACAAGCACTGATAAACGGGAACTTCGTCCTTGAAGTAAGTATCTTGCATAAACTCAAATTAATTGCTCTCTTCTGACTGATTAATTGCCTTTCAAGGGCACTTGAAAGGCAAAGCAAAGAAGAGGGAGATGAAGTAAAACCCCTAGACTTAGTTAGAAAAGACCCCTGAGGTATAACACACATGCGCAAGGGGAACCCTGAGTTACTCACGCATGTGCAGAAGAGATCCCACTTGCATAACCAGGGAGTGGGACTGAGGGCCTCTAGCGGGCCGGTGCTGGCCACACCAGCCCAGGTAGACGTCACTCAGTTAATTGTATAAAAGCAGTTAGCTCTTGTTGGAGGTTGGCAGCAAGCTTCACATCAAGGACAACGTTGCCTTTTGTGGGGATGCCCGCTATTTTGTGAGCCTGCTGACTCTCCGGGAATGCAGCTTCTGCTATGGGTAATTCTAGGTATTCTGAGTCGGTAACATAACTTTATAAGCAACACCTGGGTAACTGGGGGAGCCATACCAAGGGCTTATTTTCCTCCTCCTTCCTCTCTTTCGGGTTTGTTTGTTTTGTTAGCTACCTCTTGGTAATAAATATCAGTTTTTGCTGAGCTTTCAATGGTGTTATGGTTTCAGCTGCAGTATCCTCTGAACTGTCCCTGTTACAATAAGTCTGAGATTTCAGCCTTTTTCAGTACTCCCATCAAAGACACATACAAAAGCTACAATTGCTGGATAAATATTACTGAATATTGCACCTTCAATAATTGTGTCACTGTGCTGTCCAGAACTAAGCTATCAGATGGGAGGTTTTCCTGCCAAAGATACCACCCTAGGCTGACACCTTGCAAGGGAACCTTTTCAGTAAAAGCTCTTCACTGCAGGATGCTGGACAGTTACCAGAAATGTCAAAGGGTTGAAATTGTCATGTGTTGCTACAGTTCAGCCAGCAGCTAGAGTGATACTATCTTTTGGATAGGGCCAGTATTAAGCTTCTCACCAGAACTCTTAATTTCTCTGTCCAAAGTGCTTTCTGTAGGCTTTCAAGTGTTCCATTAGCTCTATGAAACTTTCTGACTTCTAAGAGCATTCCACTTTCCTAAATCCTCCTCTCCCTTACTCCTGGCAACTCTCGCTGTTTTCTAAGTATTTAGTTAGAGTCCTAGCTAGAGCTATTGTGTGCTTGATGATTCTTTTGGGTCCCTTCCAACCCTATTTATATATGATTCTATGATTCTGTGAAAGACTTGTGTCTGACCACCAAAGCAGCATTTAAAGAGGAAGTGGAAGACAATTTCTATATAAATGTATTTTAAAACTTTGAAAAAGCCTTGAAACCTGTTGGGATAGAAATTTTCCATAGGTGCTTGCAAGTTAAAGCCAAACATATTCCATCTGAAAAAATGAATGCTTAAACCTGAGGGTGGGAAGCAATTGGAACAATACCCTAAAGGCACAGTGGGTCTGCTTCACTTAAAGTCCTTGAGTCAGCCCTAAAGGCCTTTTCTAAACATAGGCTCTAGTTCAATGAAAAATTATGTGCTTGCAGCAGGAACAACTAGGCAAACCTCTACAGACTACACTACACAAAAGGACCAAACTGTGCAGTCATTGATGACTCTATACAGCCTTCAGAAATTCATGAATCTGTAAAACAGTCACTCACCCATAGTAAGTAATTGAGCTAGAGTATGTTTGGCTTTTTTTCTTTTTCAGCTCCTCCTCTTACCAGCCTTCTTGAACCTTCATTTCTTTAATACTGAACTTCAACAGGAAAATACTTTTTCTTTCCTGTCTCTTTTGATTCAATTACTTTTCTGATTTTAGTTATCAATCTGTAATTCTGTCAATTCTGAAAGAGAGTTTATATGAAAGAAATAGCTGAGGCTTGTGACTGTGCAAGAGATTGTTCTTTTATGTGTGAAAGCTCCCTAATGTTCTTTCAGCATGTTTTTCAACGCCTTTTAAGTTGGTGTTACCCTGAAGTAAAGCCTTTGTGTCCTGTCTGATCTCCCTTGGAAGAAGTGTTTGGTTTTGTCAGTTTCCTATCCACATGGATGACAAGAAGGTGATGGATTCACCTTCTTGATGATTCACCAAAGGGAAACCATGCTTGACCAACCTGATTGCCTTCTATGATGAAACAACTACCTGGATGCATGAGGGGAGAGAAGTGGATACTGTCTATCTCAACTTCAGAATGGCATTCAACACTATGTCTCAGAATAACCTCAAAGCTAAACTCAGGAAGTGAGGCCTGGACGAGTGGACAGTGAGGTGGATTGAGAACTGGCTGAATAGCAGATCCCAGAGGGTCATCATCACAGTAGCACAGGGTCTAGCTGGAGGCCTGTCACTAGTGGTGCCCTCAAAGGTTTTATACTGGGCCCTGTATTGTTTAACTTCTTCATCAGTGACCTGGATGAAGGGGCAGATGCCATTTGAGCAAGTTCACTGATGATACAAAGCTTGGGGGAGTGGCCGATACCCCAGAGGGCTGTGCTGCCCTTGACAGGTTGGAGGGATGGGCAGAGACCTGTCTGAAATTCAACAAAGAGAAGTGCAGGGTCCTGAACCTGGGGAGGAATAACCCCAAGTACTGGTACAGGTTCGGGGCTGACATACTGGGAAGCAGCTCTGTGGAGAAAGACCTGGAGGTCCTGGTGAACAACAAGCTCTCCATGAGCCAGTAGTGTGTCCTGGTGGCCAAGGTGGCCAATTGTATCCTGGGATGCATTAGGAAGAGCACTGTCAGCAGGTCAAGGGAGGTGATCCTGCCCCTCTACTCATCCCCAGTGAGGCCACATCCGGAGTGCTGTGTCCAGTTCTGGGCTCCTCAGGACAAGGGAGATGTGGAGCTTCTGGAGCAGGTCCAGTGGAGGGTCCCAAAGATGATTAAGGGACTGAAGCATCTCTCTTCTAAGGAAAGGCTGAGAGAGCTGGGCCTGTTCAGCCTTGAGAAGATAAGGCTGAGCTTCATCAATGTCTGTAAATATCTGAATGGAACGTGTCAAGAGGATGAAACCAGGCTCTTCTTGGTGATGTCAAGCAATAGAACAAGACACAATGGGAAGAAACTGATGTACAGAAAGTTCTACCTGAATATGAGGAAGAACTAACTTATTGTGGGAGTGACTGTGCACTGGAACAGATTACCCAGAGAGGTTGTGGAGTCTCCCTCACTGGAGATATTCAAGAACCATCTGGGTGTGATCTTCTGCCATGTGCTCTAAGATAACTCTGCTTGAAGAGGGAAGTTGGACAAGAAGACCCACTGTGGTCCCTTCTAACTTTAACCATTCTGTGATTCTGTGACCTTGCACTCATGATGCAGCACAAGAAAACACTTCTCAGTGAACAAATCAGTGGAGAGAGAGAAGTTAGCTGTAGTCAACATCCTACTTTTGAAGAATGGATAATGGCATTGTTGCCTAAAGATCGGGAGCAGAAAAAAATCCAGGTAAATTTAGTAGAGATAAGATACAGAACAGGCCTTCTGGCACAAGGAGTATGAAAAGGCACGTCCACCCCATGTCCACAGGTTCCACAATTTATGGTCCAATCCGAGAACCACCCACTCCCAGGTCTGCCCCTCAGGCACACCTCCCCCGAAATTGAGTTGGAGGTCCTAAGACCCTTTTCTTCCTCTTCTTCATGGCACGTACTGTCTTTGGAGCTTCTCCAAGGTTCCAGGGTTGAAGGTTGCTTTGACTATGATGGTATCTTGTTGATCAGGCCTGAGGTGAAAATATTCTTAAACAGGAGGTGTTTAGTACAGTCTTTAGCCTAAACAAGCTTAAAGAATTTAGAAAATTTGATATGAAATGGGGGAATAGGGTTTGGTAAGCATTAACTACAATTCTAAAGTGTGACAGACTATACAGCTACATTAAAATCTACAAAAGCTAAAAATCCTAAAAATTCAAAGGCATCAGCATGAATACCTAAATATTGGCTGAAGTACAAAGGCTACAATCAAGAAGTTTCAAAAGCTAAAAGGAAAGGATGAAACAAAGGTGGCTTTGTCCTTGGCAGGGTTGAGAAAGGCATCCAGGGGAGTTGTACCTTGAAGCACGCAAAAAAAGAACAAGGAGGATTGTGCTAGAGCAATAACGGATGAAAAACGTTACTGTCAAAGCCAGTTACTACAGTGGTATTGACTACTGTGATCATTGCTGTGGTGGTTTGAGACCCTCAAAAATCCAATTTCCAAGTCCAAGCCCCCCTCCCACAACCTGTTTCAGTGTGAGAGGGTTTTCAAGACATAACACAACTCAGTGGGGGGGAAGGGAATTATATTACAGTTTATTACTTACACAAATAAACACTATAATACATTATATACACAATTCTAACTATCTCTCCTATGGTAAAGCAATATATTTACATTAGGTCAAATCTCTCCTTTCCCTCCAATAAAAGTTCAGAAGGGAAGAAGGAAGGATCCTTTCCACTTTCAGAGCAGCAGTGTCTCTCCTCTTCAAAGCAGCAGTCATAGCTGGAGTTGTTGTAGCTAGAAAATATCTTTCTCTCTCTCTCCATTACAATGCAAGGGGTCTCCTCTCACCCCTTGGCCCTTCAGCTCCAACAGAAGGTCTCACCCGTGGACTGCCAGCAGGGACAAAACTCGC